TAAGTACCTAAATAGTTTAAATTAATAAGGGTAAAAGCTATTCCTCCGACTCCTTCAGAATTAGCTCGCCTATGTTTTTTTAATACGTCATTGTCAAATTGGGTAGGTAAAGAATCAAATCATAAGATTTGAAAAGTTATGATGATTAGCTGTCCAAGCGAACTTCGTAACGCCAATAAAAAGTTGTCTTTTCATGTCTTTTAACTTACCTATCTATAAAATCGTAATATTAAGTTCTGAACGTATCCTGATTTACACATATATCAGATCATGAAAAACATAATATGGTTGTTTTTATCCCGGTATTTTGAAAGCGGGACACGCGCTTAATTTTTTTTTTGTAACAGATCGAAATTCAGATTGGATACGCCGCAGGAAAAGCTAGTAGGCTACCTGTGCTTTATTAAATACACACGTTTCAGCCGAGATCAGTCAAAGTAGAGTCACCTAGTAACTACTAATCCCTACCATGTTTCTGACCATTTTCACCATATTGAGAAAATAAGATAGAACTACATAATGTATTTTTCGTACCTTGGCTAGGTACTGAACTTATGACATGATCAGCAGGATAGTCTGTTACTTTAGATGTTTCATCACATTATCTTCTCAGCAAGAGATAATTATTGAGAGAATAAAGAAATTAAGATATAGTGTCATATCGCAACGTTATTGGGAAAGATTAATTAAAGTCGATATCAATAGATTACATCATCTGCATAAAGATTTATCATAATGTAATTGTGGATGTATGTGTAATTAGGATCACTGACTGAAACATTTCATAGACAGAGACAGGAGGAGACAGGAAATAATTAACGCAGGCGTGCTGACTGTTCAGTAAATAAATAACAAATTGTAATCTCTCTGACCCCACGACATGATCACAGCCAGTTCTTGCACTGTTCCGTCGCAGCCCTAATGTGAACGCATCCGTCATCGAATCAGGAAGCAACTTCACCGATTACTTAGTTTCTGTCAAAAGTCTATAACCACACCGATTGGTAATGCTGGCGTACAGGCTAAATAGCTCTAAATTGACCAACGTGGGTTTCTTGCGAGGTTTTCCTTAACCGTAGGGAATTTACAAGGCTTTAAAATCTTTAACCTGATATGAAACACACTTTAAGGAAAATTTAAATCATGTGACCGTTTCTCTTACGTAGTCGTCGTACCTAAAATTGCTTAAAGGTTTGAGTCGGTTTAATAAATCAGTGAAATGGTTAGTGCAGGTTAGTGATTTTATACGCCCTGTTTGTAAAAAGGCCCTTATCTCTTTTGAATTTCAACGGAAGTAGGTAAACGTGTATTTTCAGTGATCAGCTAAGCATACTTCTTTGTTTAACTCGAATTACAGACCATGTAGACACCAGGTACATTTAAATCTTTTAAATTTATTATCTTTTAAACTATTTAAATCATTTAAAGCTTTTTGTAGAGTAGGTATCTACAACAACATTTTGTAAAAACTTGATTTTAAAAGTTAAAAATGAGTTTGTCTTTAATTACTAATCAGTCGACCGTTTGGTGTGGTGGTTCTCAAACGGACTACTATGCCTAGAGGTCCCGGGTTCGATTCCCGGCCGGGCAGAAATTGAAACTTACGTAACTAACGTACTTAAAAAGTATTATATGTAGTATATCCGTTAAGCTAGCACCCATAGCACAAGCATATTTTAGGGCTAGATAGCGCTGTGTGAAATTGTCCAAAGATATTTACATATTTATTTATAACTAGCGGCCGCCCCGCGACTTCATACGCGTGGATCCCGTTTTACCCCCTTCATCTTCATTTACAGGGCAGATATGTACCATCCTAGACTGCATCTCACTTAACACCAGGTGCGATTGCGGTCAAATACCTGCCTTGTCTAGCATTAAAAAAAATCTATCTTACGCGGTTTAGATTTTTTCATACAAATGTTTTTTCCCGCTAACTCCCGTTCCCGTGGGAATTTTGCAATATCCAGTTGTATTCCGGAGGTAGCGGGTTCGATTCCCGCACAGTAAAACATTTGTGTGCATGAACATATTTGTTTGTATTGGACTGGGTGTTTTCTATGTATAATAAGTATGTATTTACAAAAAAAAGTATTTAAGTATGTTTATATCCGTTGTCTAGTACCCATAGTACAAGCTTTGCTTAGTTTGGGACTAGAAGCGCAGAGTAAAATGTCTAAGGACATACAGGGTGTTAGGTAAATGGGTATATGAGCCGACACTAGCCCATGTTAACATGGGCATATAAATGGTATGGTGAAGTCAGAAATTTGATATCATAATTTTATTTTTTAAAATTTTCATATAAAATAAATAATATAAAATCCGATTTGTATGAAAATTAAAATAATGAAAATGAAGATATCAAATTTCTGACTTCACCATACCATTTATATGGCCATGTTAACATGGGCTAGTGTCGGCTCATATACCCATTTACCTAACACCCTGTATATTTATTTATTTATTTAACTAAGCTTTAAGTTTACTAAGGTACCTGCATGCCAAATTTCAAGCGTCTAACTTAAGCGGTTTAGATTTTTCATACAAAAGGATTTTTCCGCTAATTCCCGTTCCCGTGGGAATTTCGGGAATTCCTTTCTTAGTGTACCTCCACGGTACCTAAGCTACGTCCCTTCCAAATTTCAAGTGCCTACGTTTAGCCGTTTAGGCTGTGCGTTGAAAAAATGGCAAACTTTCATCACGCGCCAAATACAGGTTGTTGACGCAGTTTCGATCATTTCGCTTTGGATAATCGTAGGTCAACTTCCTTAGGAGTCCGATTACGACGAATGTGTCCTCGGGGCGTTGCTCAAACTAAACACTGTCGCATAGACACGTTTTAATGTGAGTCATAAGATGGCTCAATAAATTTCATTTTACTACTGCGTAGATTTCGGAATCAAGTGACTGAATTTTCCCGATAGCCTTGAATGGCTCGGTTAACAATAACAACCAGCTTTTAGCAAATCATTATTACCCGATTAATAGTGTTGTTGATATCTACCTGCCTACTTGATTTTAAATTAAATTTTCAAAGTTTAGATAGGCACGCAAAATTCCATTTGATAACTTTGTTTCAGCCCACGTTTGAAAATTTGCACGTTTCTACATCAGTATCAAAATAGATTCTAGGCAGGGCTGTAAAAGACGCGGAATTAAGTACTACCTATAACCGACGGGAGTTTCAGCATTCGAACCCGCCCAGTAATGTGCGGTGGACCCTTAGACTAGGCGCAGACCACCGATTTTTAGTTGGCCGATAGTTGGGCCCGATTTAATTTTAAATTTGTATGAAGAATCAGCCAAATCAAATCGGTGTAATGTGCGCACTTCCATACATGCCCATACTGATCAACTGCCCGACTAAACTATTGGCCGACGAAAAATCGATGGTCTGCGCCTAGACTAATTAGTCGCCTCTGTAAGGATGAGTTTAGATTTCTTACTTCCATGACTTAATTAATACCAAGCCTTTACCCAACATTCGTTATGTAGGTTATTGTTCTATTTTACAAGCAAAAGTTAGTTAGTGATGTGATTACTATTACAGTTGATCCCTTTCTGAGTTGATAAGTTTGCTATGACCTTTAATCTATAACCTATTTATTGATATCGTTTGAAAGAGCTCGTGAAGCACTTTTAGGATCAGTAACGATCGATCACTTTTACCATATCTTGTACCTACCTATAGTTTAGAAATAATTGAGTGAGATCATTTATCGTTTCCACCCTGTATAGTGACGGCAATTTCTGTCTGCCTTCATGTAGGTACAAGGTACAAGCGTACGTCATCATGACAGACTCATAACTACTGATTACAATGCCTAATAAAATGTATACAGGTCATTTAGAGACCATATCACACATAATTTTATATAAAAAAATCTCTATTGTTTTAAACCACTTTTTGTACTTATTCCACGACGACGCGTGTTGCATATATTAATAATTTGCCTAGTTGCTCAGCTTATGTTATGACGTTTGTGACCTTATATTAAATGCAACCGCCAGTTATTAAATTCATGTAAATAATTTGTAAACAAAAACAAAAAAATCGTTGCCAAAATCTTCCCAATTCTGTTGTTACGATGTTTCCTCGCGTTGATTGTCACGTGTGAATGATTTCGTTTGTGTTGTATTTTCTTCGCAGCAGCCGTTTTTGGTCTTCAAAAAGTTCAAGTAAATCGAAAAATAGGATTCGATAACAAATTCATCAACGCCTTTTATGAAAATCATAGCAATTTGAATGATCCGAGCCTCAAGGAAGTTATAAAATACTAGTTACTTATAAAGACTTCATTAAGTCATCGTATGAAAATGGAAATTAATTCTAGGTTACTACTGTGTGTATCAATCGATTGTCGGTACTATTAATAATAAATAAGCACTAATAAATAAGGCAACACACATCACGCTCGAAATAAGTAGTCACATCCATGTGACTTTAACAGCGTTCCCATTATTGCAGCTTTTGCTAAGAAGAGTGACACCGAACATTTATTACTTTGAATTTATGCTAGTCATTTAATCAAAATAGATATAACTTTGTAATTAGGTAATCGTGAAAGAGCGAAGGCACTTAGAAGAGGCGAGAATTTCATTCGCCAGAAGGGTACCTGTACGGGCGGGAGGCAGTGGTTGTGAGGCACCGCTCCCGTGCCCGGGATATGCGGTCAGGAAGGGAACTAACTCCTTAGTGAGCCTAGAGTCCCTATTCCCTAAGACACTAATGCCCGTTTTCACCATTGATCCCAAATTTTTAAGTGACCCCTTGAAAACAATATTCCTGTTGTGTTACCATAAGGGTCACTTAAAAATTAGGAATCGATGGTGAAAACGGGCATAAGTCCCTAGAGCCCTAGCCCTGCCTAACAATAGATACTTAAACATAATAAGGGTGCGATAGGAAGGAAGCCGCCCAGGGCAGCAGCGTCAGGACGGCAGGCAGGCGGCGGGGACAGCAGACGACGGTCGTTCGTAAAATGCAATACGCCATATTTATGAAATAAATGTATTTATTGTTCCGATAAAATGCTTCCTACTGCGTCCTGTTTTTGGCGTGCGCTGCCTTGATCTTGCGGTAGGCGTCGACGGCGTCCTGGCGCGCGCGCTCGCGGCGCATTCGCTCGGCGGCCGGCAGCGCGCGCGCCTTGGTGCCGCCCGCCCCCGTCCCGTCCGCCCCGGCTGTCCCGCCCGCCCCGCCCGCCCCGCCCGGCGCCAGCAGCCGGCTCAGCAGCAGCTCGCGCCGGCCCGGCTGCGGGGCCAAACAGATCGTATACCAGCCCGGTCATGCTATTCCTTGACTAAAATTTATTAGATTCACATTTTGTTACTGAGGAGAGGACGTTTTATGGACAGTTTTTATTTCTTGTTCGTTTTCGAAAGTCGAATTAGGTATGTGAAAGCATTATTTATAATTAAAGATGTTCAAATTCAAATCTAAATAAAAAAAAACAGTTGATGACATTAGAGAACGGAAACCATATTTTATAGGAAAACAGTTAACCGCCAAATTAAATTACAAGGTTAATCGACAAAGATTTGTTAATACAAATCTTTGTTATTATAATTAATAGACTTAAAAACTGTATTAGAGAGATGTTAATAAATATTTGTTACTGTACTTATACTTATTTGTTATGAATATGATAATATAACAATGATAAGATCTTTCATACTTCATAAAAAAAAAAAGTATTTTACCTGACCGTTGAATTTGCGATTCTTTTTGTGAGCGATATGAATTCAATACTTCACTTTCATGCTTTTAGATACCATGCAGCTAATAGGAACGCAAGTCAAACCGAACGTGATGTGCTTATGCCACTCCGTCAAATTATTTATTTATTTATTTATTTATTAGGTACACCAACAAAGTCACATACATAATTATACAGTTCATACATTTTAACATGGTTTAACACATAAATAATAAATTAAGCTCGATCAGCGCTTGCTATTATCAATGCGGTAAGTCAACGTCACGCGTTTCAGTACAACTTTAAAACGAGGCAAATATACTTAAACTGCACAGAATTTGAAAGGAAGAATTATCACAACGTTAATGAAATGAAACAAAAGCGTGCACTCACCCTGGCGGCGCCGGGCGCGGCGGGGTTGCGGCGCGCGCGGGGCGGCGGCAGCGCGGGCGGCGCGTGCGCCTGCTCGCCGAAGCGCACGCGCTCGTACACCAGCTCGCGCCGCTCCTGCGCCGCCTGCAACACAAGGGAGATGCGGCTCATTATATTCATCGTCGTTTCCAGCCGCGGGACGACCACCGCTGAACGTAGGCTCCCCCGATGATTTCCACAATGGCCGGTCGGTGGCGGCCTGCATCCTCATTATATTATTATTTGTTTATTCGATTATGGTGTCGTAGGATTCGAGAGAGGGGGTTCAGTTGAGATGTGGCACTTCGCTGAGACCTCACACAGACTTCTCGATAAAATTTAAAGCTATGCTGCACTGTCCTATTTCATTCGCCTACATTCATTCACGTTTAAAAATACCTCACGGTCAACGATACAACACATAAATATTCAACTCGACACAAATTTTAGAAATTGGAACGACACCACTGAACGTGCCGCTTCGCTCCCTACCAAGAATTTTTAATAAAACGTACTTAACATTATTTCCAATAACAAAAACACATACTTCAGCCTCCCTCTGCTCCTTGGCCTGCTTCTTGAGTGCGGCGCGGCGCGCGCGCGAGCCGGCCGCCTGCCCCGCGCCCGCCACCGCGCCCGCGCCCGCGCCCGCCCCTGCCGCCGCGCGCTTGCGCTTGCGCTCCCGCCGCCGCCGCTGCGCTTCCATGCGCTCACCTTTCACGTCATCCGCTTCCGTCTCTAATTCTACCTGAATGTTTGCATTAAGTATTATGTTAAACCCTGGTTTTCCAAAAATAAATATTGTATTTCAAGGTTTACAAGGGACCGAGCGAGAGTTTCTTGAGCCTAGGATTTTTGTTATACAAATACTAATAAACATGTTTGTTATACATATATTTATATTAATAAAAGTTACATCCTAGTTGAACTCTGTCTTAAATTGTCATTTAACATGGAAATGTCATTTTAATCCAGTGTTCATCCTAGGTGTAACTTTTTATTAATAAGGGGGATAGAGAGAAAAATAAAATTTTCTTTTCATGTCTGCTGTTCAAAATTGTCTCACAATCGAAAACATATTTGACACTTCATTAAGAAATTGAAGTTGTAACTTGTTCATTGTTACTAATATCGGCTAATTGAGCAGAAATGAACTTATATATAGGTTTCTAAGTTGTACTGAGGTTCAAATTAGTATTATTCAGACTAGTTAAGTGAAACTTACTGGGTAATCTTCCTGGTCTATGGTGCCATGTAGTGCTCTGATAGCATTGTTGATGCGGAGCGAGAATGACCGGCCAGTTTCACCCGGAAGCTTCTTCATTTGAGAAATGGGGTTCTTGCCTCCTCGTGAGTCACCTATAAGGTTAGCGATTACATAATTTATTGACCTACATATTTTACTGAAACAACAAGAACAACAGTTTTCAAATGCCAATTACATTGAATTGTAATTATTACCAAAAAAAATTATTAATCAAGTTACAAGAATAACCTGCATATTGGTCAAACTCACTAATTGAGGAATAAAAAGTAAATCAGCTGTTACTGAGAAAGGAGAGTAAATGAAATACATTATACTTTGTCGCTGGAGATTGGCCCGCCTCGGCTGCTTGGTGCGGGGCGCGTCGCGGGCGCCGAACAGCCGCAGCAGCGAGCGCGGCACGGGCTGCTCGTCCGGATCCTTCGGCGGCGCATTTATCTTCCCCTTCAAACTTCAATATAAACGTTTGTAACTTTTTCACTAATGGTCATTAACAAATCCCACTTTTAAAACCACCTTTACCTCTGTAAACGTTTTGCCTGTTGCTGCAGTGGATCTTTCACACCACGATGTTTCTTCGCTGGTATTTTACGACCCATAATTAATTTATTCTTATCACTTTTCTTAGTCCACAATGATGTTTGTAGGGAAGAAACTACACACAATTTTCTTGATTTAAGTCAAATCAGTTACTTATTATCAATTTATAAAGATTAATTTGTGGTCGCATTTGTTGGTTATGTTGTTGACTAATTTTGACATCTGTGATTTTGACAGTTAAAGTCACTAAAGTCAATCTCAAAATCAGCTGACTGACAGTGTGCACTTAAAAAAAATGTTTTAAAAAACCTTTACAATTTAAAATAAACCTCCTTTTGGCGCAGTCGGGTAAAAAACTTTATTTAATACCACTTTACACACAAGAAAGAGAGTTACCAACTTCATTTATTTGTAAAGAATACTATGAATTCGTATAGTGTATCCAAACATTAAATAATGTCATGATAGAAAATGTCACTGGAGCAAGCAACCAATGAGAAGAACGAAACCTTCCGATTGTTTGTGGTGCAGTCGCAATAGTTTTTATTAACGATCAAAACGGACAAACCTATTGTTATTTTTTTTTATTTATCAAAAAGGTTTCTGTTTATAACAAACAAAAGTGGGTCTGAATTAAAAAAAGAAATTTTCAAAGATACCTATTTATTGTTTCTTGTCAATTAACTTATTGAGCATATCTATGTTTTTAACATCTTCCACCACGAACTCACCAGTTTAATCTGCTGTACTTATGTAAATCAGAGCCCCGATTACGATAACTTTTAACGTTTCCAATCCAGACGCGCTTCATCGATTCTGCGATACGATTGGTCAAAACAGCTGACGTACGCTGTTGAACGACCAATCGTATCGCAGAATCAGATGCCAGATTTTGTATGGAAGGTGGCGTCTTTTTTTTTTCGCGCGGCCATCGACCAAACCTTATTTTTTGATTTCAAAATAGTGTAATAAACCAAACTTACTATGACATGTATACCTCTAAACTCAGTCTGAAGTTCTGAACTGAGTTACGAGCATTAGAAGTTTGATGATTCTACATACTAGATTTGCTTTCTGCGCGCAAGTTTTGTAAGAAATTGCAACAAAGTAGTGACATTGTATGTGTAAAAAAACAATATCATCCATTATAGGCTCCAGCCATCAGTGTGGAGCAGAATCAGCGCAATAAAAAAAGACGTCACTATTTTGTTGCAATTTCTTACAAAACTTGCGCGCAAAAAGCAAATCTAGTATGTAAATCATCAAACTTCTAATGCTCGTAACTCAGTTCAGACTGAGTTTAAAGGTAATGTTATAGTAAGTTTGGTTTATTACACTATTTTGTAACCAAAAAACATGGTTTGGTCGATGGCTGCGCGAAAAAAAAGACGCCAATTTCCGGCATTGTCTTTTCATCAAAATCGGTTCAATGGTTTTGGCGTGAAAGAGAGACAGACAGAGTTACTTTTGCATTTATATTAGTATAGATTAGTATTAAAAAAATAGATGTTTATGAAATAGAATTGAAATAGATGTTTTATAGATGTTTACCAATCACTCGACAGTTCGACACACGGTGGGCTGATATTAGAGCTTCATAGACTTAGCGTCGCTCAAAAATCAAGTGCCTAATTTTGAAAAAAATAATATGCCAATGTGTTCCTTTACCAAAAAGGAATATTTTATGTTATTTAACGTTTCTTGATAAAGTTATTATTTAATAAGTTATTGACAATTTCCTTTTTTTTGTATGGAGCTCAACATTTATTTTTATTTTATTCGTTATTCTTAAGCTTTCTTAAGAAATTGACTTTTGTATTATGTAATGCATCATATAAGCTATGTTATCACCAAGTGTCGCATTTCGGAAATCTTCGGAACATTGTCATTTTGGACTTTAAAATAAAAAAAATAAAAAAATTAAATAACCGCCAAATTTTGTAAAAATAACTACGCCAATGTGTTCCTTTGCCAAAAAGAAATATTTTATGTTATGTAACTTTTCTTGATAAAGTTATTATTTAATAAGTTATGGACAATAATTACTTTTTTTTTGTATGGAGCTCAACATTTATTTTTATTTTATTCATTATTCTTAAGCTTTCTTAAGAAATTGCTTTTTTTATTATGTAATGCATCATATAAGCTATATTATCACCAAGGGACGAATCCCGGAAACCCTCGGAACATTGTCATTTTCGACTTTAAAATAAAAAAAACGAAAAAGAAAACTGCTATGTTATGTACTTTCTTCCGTACTACCCTAACGAGGTGAAGAACTAAGCGCGTTTTTTATAATGGTGTTCCCAGGAGGCCTAATCCACATGATTACTAAGGTTACTAAAATATAATACCTATTTGTTTTATGGAAATTAAGCCAGTTTGAAGTTAAGTTTATTGGTTAGACTCAAGAGCCACTTTCTGAATCTACAAAAGTAAAGCTTTCTATCTCAGTATCAGCCTAGACATCAAATTGATCATTTATAGTGGACTTTTTGGTGGTGTTGAAAACCTTTCTTGATGGCAATTACGTCTAAATTATTCATTTATTTTGATATGACTTTACAAATATCACATCGCTGGTTGTGTAGAGCTGCCATTTATCAACATTGAGTTATAATGTAATATTACTTCAATGTTTATCAACGATATTATTTTTCTATCTATCAAGTGAGAATCAGTTATTACGAGATTGTTTTGCTTCCAGAATTACGATCTATTAAATTTTCAAATTCCGCGTCCATTAAGTTTTTTTCATTGATAACATTAGGTCGANCAATTTCTTAAGAAAGCTTAAGAATAACGAATAAAATAAAAATAAATGTTGAGCTCCATACAAAAAAAAAGGAAATTGTCAATAACTTATTAAATAATAACTTTATCAAGAAACGTTACATAACATAAAATATTCCTTTTTGGTAAAGGAACACATTGGCATATTAATTTTTTCAAAATTAGGCACTTGATTTTTGAGCGACGCTAAGTCTATGAAGCTCTAATATCAGCCCACCGTGCGACACACACAGATATAATCAGTGTTGCTAGAAAATAATAAGTGTATTAGTATTACCGAAACAATTACTACGGAGATAAAAATAATAATCATAAATGCTAAAAAAAAATCAAGCATCAATACTTTAGTCGCACTATCATGGTTGCTTTATGAACGACAGTGGCGCCCTCATTTATTTTCGACTCTTTTAAGTCGCAAGACGTAGGTATACTTCCATGGTCTAACTTAACGTGCCTACAATCGGAACGTCTTAAGTTAATGCCTAAAGTCCACGATTCTGGAACGTCAAGAGGCAAAAATCAAAAACTAACGACCCAGTATTGATAGTAGCGCCCTCCTGTAAATGTCATAATTTTATGGATGTCCAATCCAACGTGGCAATAATCGAAACTATCCAGTGTTGATAGTAGCGCCCTCCTGATCCTGACAATGTTCTATGGTTTAGTAGTGACAGACAAAAATTTTTTTATGTCCCAATTTGTTCCTTAGTAAACGGCCCTTCGAGCAAGGCGAGGAGTGTGTTTGTGCGATTTGTGTTGTGCGGGAGGGGGCTTGTTTTTAGTAGCAAGGTCGTTCTTTGTGTCAAAAAATCTACTTCTTGTGACGAATAATTCATTTTAAATATTTACTTGTTAATATAGTGACTGACTATTTTGTGTTCAATTACATAGTTCATAGTGCGCGTATGTTGTGTAGCAGCTTCTAAGTTTTAGAACAATCTGTTTACTCGGAACGCTCCAATGAGTTTGGGAGGAGGTCAGAACTCTGAGGGATCAAATGCAGGAGGAATATTCGTTCAATTCAATCAGGATTGCACGTAAGTAGAGAGGGATGAAGGTAATATATAGTGTTTTACGACACTAAAGTGTAGGATACTAGATTAAGAAACTATGCAAGGTAAAGCTAGACTAGGGCTCAAGGTTCCTTGTAGTTGCGAAAGCGGGCATTGTCATTAATTAGCAATATCACAGGAGCTTAGAGCGCGGGTTCGGGCCCAGCGTTAGCGGTGATGCAATATGTCATTGCCAACAGTGTCGTAACCAAGCGTGATCCTCGGCCATATCTCCGCTAACAGCTGGCGTAAACAAACATGGCGTCTCTTGAACCTTGTCATAATGTTTTGTTAGCATTCGGCATTCGCTGTATTTACGGCTTCTCATGGTGATTTTATCAAACAGAACAAAGTAATGTAGGTATGATCACAACAAAAAACTGGCCCAAATTCCTTCTTCAGTATTTTACTTCTCTGTGTATTAACTCTTTGTTCTAAGCTAACAGCATTTCATTTAATTACACTTTTCTTTTTGTTTTAACTTGTATTAATATGCATGACCTAAGTGCATGACTAATGCACAAATTGCATCATTTTGTCGACCTCAGATGCAAGAATATACAAAAGACACAAAAATACCATGCCAAAGCCTACTGCTTTGTTGTGGAGGAACATGCCTAACTAATGTGCTTAGTCTGAGACTCATCATTATTATGATAAGTTTATTGTGATTGTTTGGATTAAGATGCACACAGAGGACTTACATAATATTACCTAAACATTGTTACTGCAAATCTGTTATTATTTGCTAAATAGGTTATTTTTGATGATTTCAGTATGTTACAGTAATTTTGAATGAATATGGACTTTGTATGTATGTCAATTAAATCACAATAATGCATGAAACTGTAAATTGTTGTTAAGTCATTTAGAACAATGTATTCTAAGAATTATGTAGCTTTGAATTAAATTAAAACTCTGTCCTCATGTCATCATATTTTGGGACACTGGACTTACCTAATTTAATAAGTATGATAGGTCTTAGGTCAATACCCTAATGCTCTCAGAATTAGATCATTGTAAGTACTTTTTATGATTAATGTGGCATTAAAAATACAAAGAGAAGCCTTTTGTCACTTTATAAATAATGTATGTGTACCTACAGTGTGTTATTAAGTGGTTTTTATACTTGGCCAAATAAAAGTTTGATTCTACTGGCAGCTCAAATGCAATAACTTTTTCCAAGAGACCAAAGTTCATTTATATTTTTAAAAAACCTTTCCATATAAATTATCATCAGCTATCAGTCAATAGTATGATGTAGGTTTAAGTAATAGTAATTGTATTTAAGTAGTAGAATCAACAATAAAAAGTAAGATATAAAAGGTGGCACTTATCATCTTGTACGTAGCTCTGTTTTTTTTTTGTTTACGTAGGTCCCTGGTAGCAGGCAGCAGCAGCGGCTACCATCTCTTTGCGTTGACCCCTGACGATGGCATTGAAGAAATTTACGCAAGCCGCTCCGGCCAGGACACATGCCTGGTGGACCGGCTTTTCAGCAGCTCATTGGTGGCGATCGTCACGGTATCAGCTCCCAGGTAAGTCTTTGCTGTGATGACTTTTGTAAATATCGTCTGCTTAGTTTTATTTCAATTCATCGTCACAATGAATGTGATATAATTATGTCACATTAATGTTAGAGTATAGTATAACCTCCTCCTTTTTTTGAAGTCGGTTAAAAATGGCAAGTGAGAGCGGGCGCGGCGGGCAGCCCCGGGGCGGAGTGACGCACGAGCTTGTTATTACTATCGGCGCATCACCGCTAACTGCGCAACGCCGCAGCTGATACGACGCACGCGTCCGCGCGTCACTCGCTGGCCGGGCCCTGAAGAGCGGTCGATGCACGCTCCTACGCGTAACGCTACCGATTACGATTTCGATTGCATAGGTACATACATGTACAATAATTATGCTTGTATGTATAATATAATTTACGTTGAGATTTCAGACAACCTATTATTACCGATTTATAATTTGGCTAGGGAGGGACCAGATGGTGCTCATGTCATGGCCCACTTTCCCAAGTTCAGTGAAAAAATACATTCAATAACTGGTAATAGGTATCAGGCAGGTTTCGACTTTTCAATCGTCTTAAAAAAAAGATTCTCAATTCGATTGTAGTATGCTTTTTGTATTAATCATATTATTTATTAAACACCACAAAAAAGAAACAAATACACAAAAAGAGACAGTACCTACAATTTAGGCGCCCTTATCGCTTTTAAGCGATGTTGTATGTTTTTTATTTTTTATGACCTGCACGGCATGTGTATTTACCACGACCAGAGTAAAGGCTGGGAAGCAAATTGCAGTAGTGTCTCTGCACTTTTTAAGTGTGTGATACAATCAAATTAACAATATTTATTCGTTGTGAACTCGTATAAGTATTTAGCCTCAAATTCTATTTATCGCCGCGTGACCCTCAATAACTGCGCTGCAAAACGCCGTAAAGATAAGTATGTTAGTCATAGTTTGTTGTGATAATAAATTTAATTTGGTTTTGAACTGCGATTCGAGCTGGTTTTGCTGCACGAGCGTAGAGTATTGTAATGAGGTGGTCAGGTGGTGTAAGCGCTTTTTGTCGTGTTACGTGGCGGCCTCGTTGTGTAAGGGAGAGCCGTCGGCCAAGTTCACGTCCGTCCGAAAATACTCGGCTCCCGCGACAACCGCACTAAAATTAGCAATTATGCCGCGACCTCCGCTGCAGAGGTCGCCGCGTCACCACCCCGTTGTCCGGAGTACCCACACGGCCTGGTTATTGGAAACTAAACCAATAATTTTTGTATCATTTGTCAATAATCAATAACAATCCCAAAATATGAACATTGAGTGCATCAGCGCCGCGCTGTCTCGCCGGCCGATGCCGCCTGTTTCCTCGAGGAAGTCAAATTCCGCGCGCATTGTTATGGCTTGGCCTTCTTCACCTGTTCTCCGATTAGTTTGGTGGTCATTTATAATGTTCCTGTAGCACCATCTAATAAGCAAAGTTTCATTCAGCAAATTGATGGGACAGTGAAATATTCCTTAACAGTCAGTTATTTACAATTTGGTGGAAGGTCCTTGAATTTACATCATCTTTAAAAATGTATAAGTATCACTCGCGCTGGCACAAATCCCATTGTTTAGGAATTGTTTGGCTCGTTCTCTAGTTCCTGCAATAAAATATTGCTATATATTATCGAAAAAAATACTAAAACATGTAAATAGTAAGCTCATTGAATGTGTTCGTATTTTGCACATTATATTATTATGCCCCCCAATCCCATTGTGATTTTTTGTTTTCGTTTGCCGCAGGAAGCTGATCGTGTGCCACTACAAGAAGGGCACGGAGATATGCAACTACAGCTACAGCAACACGATCCTTGCTGTCAAGCTGAATCGATCTGTGAGTACTGGAACCATTTTCTCGCCACCTTCAGAATACAAAAATTAGCCAAGTGCGTGTCGTGTCACGCGCAGGGTTCCGTAGTTATCCGTCGTTAACACAATATATTTCAGAAGCAAGCAATTACTTCATCATAAAGTCACTTTTAAATATTTTTTTCTAAGAATTTTTTAAGAAATTTTATAATTTAATGAGTTAAATGACTATTACTTTTAAACTAAAATTTTTAATAATTTGCAAACAGATCCCTACATGGAAAAATAGTCTTAGAAACCTCTAAGCCATTTTAAAAGACCTATCCAACGATACCACACACGATGGGGTAAAAGATGAAAAAAGCGATTGTGTAACTGTAAATGGCTAAGTAGATATAATTTTTCATTATTTGTATTGGTTGCTATTGGTATTCCTAATAAAAAAAAAACAATAATAACATATTTCACATGGGTGAAGCCACGGGCAAAAGAAAATAATATACTCTAAATAGTTATCCACAATGCCGCGATCAATGGTCGTAATTTGATGTAAAAGAAAAATCCAGACAGACTTACTGGAAGCGATTGTTCAAAACGCCTATTTATTTATACACAAATGACAGGACATTATTGATAAGCTGTAATCTTGCTATTTAATTCATATGCAGTTAATGGGAAAATAAAGACATGTTGATTTTCTGATAATGAAAGCATACAAAGCATCAACATACTTGCGTTATCTCAGACAGATAGTGACATATTAACTTACTTTTCAATGAAGATTTCTTACCTTGAACTTGCACCGAATGTAGATGAACTTGAACCATGTTGAAAATTATAAAGAGTTGCGAACTTAATTTTAGCGGCGTTCGTCATAAATGAATATTAATTTATAAACACGGAACGAACTCAAACAAGGTCCGAGAGTCCGAGCGCGTATCGCCCAAAAGTTTCCGACAAAGATCGATAGGTGTGATCAAAGGAAACTAAAATATAATCGAACCGGAGTCCAGTTCGATCACCCAGGTCTTCTCGTCCACGGGTGATCAAAGCGGAACAGACCGATCGAAACGGCCCTCGCTTCGTCCGCAGAGGCTGATCGTGTGCCTGGAGGAGTCGCTGCACATCCACAACATCCGCGACATGAAGATCCTGCACACCATCCGCGACACGCCGCCCAACCCGCGCGGGCTGTGCGCGCTGTCGCCGTGCGTGGAGCACTGCTACGTGGCCTACCCCGGCTCCAGCGCCGTGGGCGAGGTGCAGATCTTCGACGCCGTGCACCTCAACGCCAAGTGCGTCATCAGCGCGCACGACAGCCCGCTCGTGGCGCTGGCCTGGAGCATGTGCGGCCGCCGCCTGGCCACGGCGTCCGAGCGCGGCACCGTCATCCGCGTGTTCAGCGTGCCCGAGCGCGCGCGCCTGCACGAGTTCCGGCGCGGGCTCAAGCGCTGCGTGTCCATCGCCTGCCTGGCCTTCAGCGCCTGCGGGCTGTACCTGGCCGCCACCTCCAACACCGAGACCGTGCACGTGTTCCGCCTGCAGGAGGGCGCGGCCGGCGACGACGCGGGCGCGGAGGAGGCGGCCGCGCCCGACGCCGCCGCCACCTGGATGGGATGGATCTCACAGGTCAGCGGTACACTCATAATAAATGTTTTCATTATTTATAGCCTCTATACAGGGTGGAAACGATAAGTGATCTCACTCGATTATTTCTAAACTATAGAAGATATCGAAATACTGGTTACTGATCCTGAAAGTGCTTCACGAGCTCTTTCAAACGGTACCAATAACAAGTTACAGAATAAACGGGATCTATCCGAAAATTCAATGTTTCCAGCTTCCATACTAAATGTATGCCAACCACTCAAAATTAGAAGTTTATTTTTTTTAAAACTTTAAATAAACTCGTAAATTGCATTCTTATTTAAAAATATTTATGGAAAACATTAGTTTTAGGCTTTACTTGCTATAAAATTTGCTATAATATTATCAAGAGATAAGTACCATATTTGTGATAGTACTAAATGTATGGAAGATGGAAACATTGAATTTTTAGATTGATCCAGTTTATTCTGTAACTTAATATTGATACCATTGCATAGAGCTCGTGAAGCACTTTTAGGATCAGTAACCAGTATTACGATATCTTTTGTAGTTTTTAAAATTATGAGGTTGTACCAAATGTATGGAAGCTGGAAACATTGAATTTTCGGATAGATCCAGTTTATTCTTTAACCTATTGTTGGAACTGTTTGATAGAGCTCATGAAGAACTTTCAGGATCAGTAACTAGTTTTTTGATATCTTGTATAGTTTAGAAATAATCGAGTGAGATCACTTATCGTTTCCACCCTGTAGATGACCATGTAATTATTAATCCCGTCAAACCCTCGCATTGACCTAACTACGAGGGCCGGCTGATAAGTCCGCGGCCTAAGGTACTTAATGAAATAAAATAAATGGTTTCTATTTTTTATTTTGTAATATAATCTCCCTGAAAAGAAATACATTTCTTAAATCTCGCATACAATGCCTTTTACCCACCCAAAAAATTTTTTTTCAAAATGACGACCAACCGCAGCTTTAATTTCGTTGTCATCTGCATATCTCCGGCCCCGTAAGTCCTTTTTCAAATCGAAAAACAGGAAAATATCGCTAGGTAATAGGTCTTGGCTATATGGTGGGTGGTCAATCTCTGAGAACCCGGTGTCTTTCAGGGCTTGGCCTCGCAACACGTGCGGCGTGAACGGGCGCGTTGTCTTGCGGAAAGAGCAATCCACGTGTCAGTTTCCCACGTCATTTCTGTACAATAGCCTCGCAAACATAAAGAAATATTCTTCAGCTATCTGCCACGATTTAATTCTTTGGTCAGCCGGAACGATTATTTCGACTTTTGACCGTTTCTTTCGCTCAGTATCGTGACAGGGCGGGGGTCGTTTCCACAGGTCTCTCGTCCGTGTTGAAATAGTCGGGCCCATTTTTTAACCATGGTATATGAAGGTCCACAATCCTGAAGAACCAATGACATCTCTTCAAAAATGTCTTTCGGTCTATTTTCCTTCTTTACGAGGAATTATGTCCGCGGCGCGCGGTGTCGAAATTCTGCAAATCTCCAGATTCGGCGGACATGGTGATGTCATTTGTTCGATAGAAATTGAACTATCAGTGCAAACTTAATAAGTGATTGCTTTTTATAATACTACTGAGTGTCGCAACTAGTGACATGAGTAACAAGCTAATTACTCATCGCTAAGTACCTTAGGCCGCGAAATTTTCAGCCGCCCCTCGTATATCTCGCGTCACGAGCGGGTTGACCCGTCGTAACGGTTCGAACCGGCGGTTCTCGGATCTCGAGTCGGCCACCTTCCTCTGCGATAGCCGATACGTCCACCGTTTCTACGTCTACCTCACAATTAATACTTTGAATAAAAAATGGCTTTAAAAGGGATTTCGCCACTGAATAATCGTAAAAAGTCTGCGAAGACACCCTCTCCCTTCACGACTACGTTCCGTTGCAGGCCGTGACGGCCGGCAAGACGTACCTGCCGGCGCAGGTGGCCGACGTGCTGGCGCAGGGCCGCGCCTTCGCCGCCGCGCGCCTGCCCGCCACCGGCCACCGCGCCGTCGCCGCCATCACCAAGTACGTGCCTACACTCACACCCCTCACGCTACACTCCACACACGTTGGCTATATTCTAAACTCTTCGGTATAAACCACACAAAAATCAATTTTTTTAAACGAGTCATCAAATCATACATACTATACTCCAACTTCATACTGGCGCGCCCGAATTCACAAATGTCGTCAAAGGTATTTTTAGTAAAACCGTGCCTTCAGCGCGTGTTTTGCCCTACACAATCAACAAAAACATTTCAACATTCGACGTGTTTTTTACGCCATACGCCACACAACCAAGTCTTCGGTCGAAATGACGTTTCGCTCTATAGCTTTTCGCGCACGTTTCTAATTAATGAGGGTTTTCGCGAATGAAAAATCCGCCAGATGGAAATATGTAGACGCGAGGTCCAAATGCTGCATGATTGGTTATTTTTGACATGACATTGACAGCTATGTCAAAATCCACCAATTACGCAGCAGTCAGACTCCACATACACGTCCCGCCATCTAACGGATCATTCATTCGCGAAAACCCTCATTAAAACACCAACCGAATCGAGAAGCTCCTTTCTGAAGTCGGTTCAAAGCGGGCGGGTCCCGCCGCCACTGTGTGAGTAACGCGCGGCGTGTTGCAACTTGCAGCGTGGCGCGCGCGCCGCGGCTGCTGGTGGCCACGGCGGCCGGCGTGCTGTACGTGTACGCGCTGGACGCGGCCGAGGGCGGCGAGTGCGCGCTGCTGCGCCAGCACCAGTTCCTGCACGCGCCCGCGCCCGCGCCCGAGCCGCACGCGCCCCACGAAGGTACGCCGCCGCCCGCGCCCGCTCCGCCGACCGCGCTCTCACGTCTGCCCTGATTATTATAAGAAACGCTCAAAAACTTTGAATTCTTATATTTACTTGAATTTTGATACTGACATCGCCTCAAAATTATTTCAGTAGCGAAAGTGACGGACGAGAGAGCGCGCGGCTCGTCGTAGAGCCCGTTCGATTGTTCCTTAATTTTTGACAAAATATTATTTTTGAAACGTCGCACGTCGACTTTGATCTGTCGCGATGACGCGTAACGTTGCCACGGTTCGACCCCGTCGACCGAGCCCGCCGCACAGTACGCGGCCCGGCGCGCCGGCCGGGTGCCCTCGCCCGCGCCGGCCGCCACGGCCGGACATGCTTCTTCGTTTTGGTTCTCTCTCTCTCTCTTCTACCGCTCCCTCTCCCGCATCACACATCCTCATACCGGCTTATCATGGTAGCTACCGAAAGAATGACCGCCCGACGATGCGTAGACGGATACGATCGACGCGACGCCCCGACCGAGCCCCGAATGATGCCGCTTAACCTCACGATCATGTTTCGTTTGACACCTTCCGAGCTCATTTACTTTGATTTGTGCAGAGTAATGGTTGAGTAGACGCGCCAAGTGGCGACGACGACGCGCCCGCGCGGCCCGCTCTGCGCTCGCTCGGCGCCACTCTGCGGTTAAGCGTTTGAAGAAGCACATTTCATTTTAGTTATTGCATTCGATGTAATTTTCTTCGGTTCGAAGATTTTCCGTAAAGTTATGTATCAATTGAAACTCATTGTCAAACGCTTAATCTAGAGTGAGTGGACACTCGACTCGTGACAGTATTTGCTACGAATACGTAATATGGCTTTCTTTCATTTCTACTTTAAAACCGCTACAAACTAGTTCAATGCTGAAATATCATAGGCGTTCGTTCGTAATAAACAGTATGCGTTCGTAGAGAGAAACACAAGGTTTTCTTTTTTATTTGCCGACAGTACGGACGGGCTTGTAGTTGATGTAATAAATAGCTAATGTAAGTCTGTAAATACAATATAGTTTTGTAGGTTTATGTTTCGCGAAATAAGCCATAAATTAACGAAGTCAAGCCATACTTGAAGGTAGTCAAAACTAACTTGTGTGAATTGAAATATTTGGCAACATTGAAAATAAAATAATGTAAGAATTACTGACAGCCGTTAATAAATTTATAGTTAATATCATATGGCATTTCAGTACCAATCAATATAAGTACAAGGAAGAAGATAAAATACTCGTACAAATCATTGTGTGTATCAAGCTCATAATATTAAAAACCCAATCGTCAGAAACGCGAGTTTTTTTCTTGTTCTTAGTGATAGGTAGGGTTCTCTCATCGAGTCGAGTGTAGAGCGTAACCCTGGGCCTGATTCCGTAATCGTTCACTATCTTTAAAACTGTTCGTTTATATTTTTCTTTTTACTTTTAGATTACTGTAAATTAAATCTGTCAACTAAACAACCAACTATTTTTGAAATCTTTATTTTGCATTCAATTTGTCTATTGATTCTTATAACAAGATTTTATAAGATACACATTACATACCGTAGAAAGGCACAGTATCCGTACATGAGAATAAAATCTGGTAGAAGTAGATCAGGTAGCACTTTTAGAGATTAAAGATCGTGTCGGAATCAGCGCCCGGGCGAGAGCGCGCCGCGCGGCCCCCGGCCGCTCCGGGCTTCACGGACTGCATACAACTGGCTTACGAGGACTCAGTTTTATTTGATCGGACTTCATTTTCAACGTGACACACTCGCAAGAATCTTTAATTATTAATAATAAAAAGTTTTAAAAAAACTGCCTTCATATTGTCATTTTTGTGAATCGTATTTCACCAAGAAAACTAGCCGCTATCTTGAAACGTTATTTTTAAATTGCGCGTACTCGCAAGCCTCACCGATCTCCGGAGAGCCGGTGCTCTCCTGTAAAACGGACCCTGACCTGAAAGAAACAGGAGCGCAGGCCTTCGGGGCCGCGGCAGGGTCGCCGAGCCAGTTGTAGAGGGCGTGAAGCGCGGAGGCGCCGCTGCCGGGCGCGTGCTAACCTCTTGTTTGGGCAGCAGCGGCGGCGGGCAACAGTTACGCGGGCGCGCTGCGCGGCCGGGACCCCACGCGGATGACAGGTACTCGCCCCTCCCACCCCCCGCCCCCGCCCGCTCCCCACACCGCACACACCGTATGCGGGATACGTGAGTAGACGCATCGCACACGAAAACCTTAATCCGAAATCGTCGGACGATGTGACCGAACACGAATACGATCGAAACCGCATCCTGACTAATATCGGAGGGTGTTTTGAATACCATATTCGATTATAAATGAATAATATGGGTAAAAGTGCTAACCGCTTCGTGTGATGAAACTAATAACTTGGAATGAAAATTAATACACACATGACATACGATCGAAATCGGAACGTACACGCGCACACCCGTGACCCTTCCCCGCTTCCACCCATAGTCGGCAGTCGGGCTCTCGCTTGTCAGTCGTTGGTCGTGCGGCGGCGTGGCTGCAGCGCTGGTAATGGCTGTGTTGTGCAGGCGCAGACCCCGCGGCGCCGGAGCGGTAGTAGGTAGGCGGACACGTGAGTAGCCGCCGCGCCGACGCCCCACTTTTGTTACTTTTGTACCAAATATACACTTTACGCTTCATGTGATGTTTTTGTTCGTAAGTACAGTGTTCCGTCGCGATACCATGTCCTAGATAAAGTTGCGATTTTGAATTTTGGTAAATAAAAATCTTGGAGATTTTAATATCCTTTAAACATAAAAAGCAATTGGGACCAAGAAAAAATAATAAAATATTGTTACCTGAATTTAATTTGATTCTAATACTATCGTCTTAAAACTTTGTTTGACAGAACATAAATTAAATAAGCCAAATGTTGTAATTTAAATTATTAGCTAACAATGTACTGTTAAAAGTGCATTGTGAATTTGGGTTGTAATGTTTATGTTACTTATTAACATTAGTATTTTACAAAATAATTAGGACTCAAACGACTGAAAGACTGAAGCCTTTCGTGCTGGAACTAATTGTTTTAGTTTTAATTTTGTGGATGAGAAATTAATTGAAAAAAAAAATTAACTGCATTAATATTAAAGTGTCTATCCCGCTTTACATTTTCATAGCACAATGGATATTTGATGTTCACTACAAACGTAAGTGTTAATGTTGAATCTGGAGACGCTTTTGGTGCACTCGAGGCATATTTGTTTTGGTAACGTTTCATTTGCTGTGGCTTCATTTTTTAAGTTTATCATTCAAGGTAAGAAGTCCGCGGGTTCGATTCCCGCCACGGGAAGTCTATATCATTGTCACATGTCACTTTAACCACCCAGTACTGCAGGCCTAAGATGCGCGTCGCGATAAGCGATTATAACGCTATTTTATCGATTTTGCCCATACATTTTGACGTCGATAAAAGATATCACGGCGCGCATCTTAGGCGGCCTACTGGTCGGTAACGAGATCGGTTCAACCTCGCGAGTCCGAGCTTCCTTTGAGACTCCTCGAATTTATTATAATAATATAATGGCATATCATTATAATAAATCAACGGTCACCTCGGCCTAAAGCACCCACTCGAGCGCTTCGTGTCACGAAACGACCGCTCGAGCTACGAAGCTCGGACTCGCTCGGCGGACGCGGACTGACCCGGACCCGCCCGGCGACTGACGGGGCGGGCGCGGGCGCGGGCAGGGCGCGCGGGCGCCGGCTGTGAGCGCGCTGTGTGTGCAGAGTCGGAGCGCGCGGCCGAGCTGGGCGCCGCGCTGGACGCGCCGCCGCGCGGGCCCTACGACCTGCGCGACCCGCGCCACTTCCCGCCCATGCGCGCCGCCGACGAGCCCGCCGCCGCCGCCGCCGCCGCGCAGTAGCGCCGCCGCCGGGAACTCCGCGACCTCCTATATTCCGTTCGTTTTTTTTTCATGAGCGAAACCTCAACGTGCGAGCCGTACCTGTCGACCCTCGATCCGTCCTGTGGACGTTGGTCTTTTTATGTAATTGTCTTATAGAATGGCGGCCGTGTCTCCCGTTTTGAGGTTTCACATTATGTATTTAAAAAAACCGTGTGACGCTCAATACTTTGTTCCGTGGATTCCGCTCCTGCTGAATGACCAGAGCCCCGATTACGGTAACTTTTAACGTCTACAATCCAGACACGCTTCATCGATTCTGCGATACGATTGGTCAAAACAGCTGACGTACGCTGTTGAACGACCAATCGTATCGCAGAATCGAGAAGCGTGTCTGGATTGGAAACGTTAAAAGTTACCGTAATCGGGGCTCAGAGCGTGACCTGTTCTTTTTTTAGGGTTCCGTAGCCAAAATGGCAAAAACGGAACCCTTATAGTTTCGTCATGTCCGTCTGTCCGTCTGTCCGTCTGTCCGTCTGTCACAGCCGATTTACTCGGAAACTATAAGTACTACAGTGATGAAATTTGATGGGAATATGTGTTGTATGAACCGCTACAAAATTATGACACTAAATAGTAAAAAAAAGAATTGGGGGTGGGGCCCCCCATACATGTAACTGAGGGATGAAAATTTTTTTTCGATGTACATACCCGTGTGGGGTATCAATGGAAAGGTCTTTTAAAATGATATAAAGTTTTCTAAAAAACATTTTTCTTAAAGTGAACGGTTTTTGAGATATCAGCTCTCAAAGTCGTAAAAAGTATGTCCCCCCCCCTCTATTTTTATAACTACGGGGTATAAAATTCTAAAAAAAATAGAGGTGATGCATGCTAATTAACTCTTTCAACGATTTTTGGTTTGATCAAAGTATCTCTTATAGTTTTTGAGATAGGTTGATTTAACTGTTGCTGCTACGGAACCCTTTGTGCGCGAGCCCGACTCGCACTTGGCCGGTTTTTTTAATCTTAAACGACCATTGACGACGTATTGAGTCTTACCAAAAAATCTAAATATTTTTAAAAATTATTTTGTCGACTGTTGTAAATAAAATGAATGGATGTATTACTTACTCTACACTGCATATTTTTTTATATATTGAACATTATGTTTTTAAAAATATTGTATTGGAATAGCTGAAGTAAGCGCCACTTTAACTTTTAGTATTACTTGTGAAATACACTTTACATAATAATTGATAATACTATTTTAGCGAACGTGTCCCGAAATATTTCTGTTGGTAGAACACTGCCGTGGCTCTCGGTCACGCGGATAACGAACGGACTATATGCAGCGACGTAGATTGATCCTTCAAATCAGATTTTTGTGAATGTAACAAAAATACTGTAAAGATAATTAGTGATTAATTATTTACATTCCCACGATGTCTTTCAAGTTATCGAAACTATTTTTGTATATTTCGGAAATGATTCAAGGGTACATATCAAGAAGTATTTTTTTATATAATTTGCATAAATTAGGCAAGCCAGTGGAGCCACGAGATACTCTCGCTCGACCTACATAACCTTTTTGTGTTACTAAAATAAATAACAAAGCAAACATATTTTTCTCCGGCTGAATAACGATTTATTTTTGGCATGGCAGAATTTTTGGAAATAAATTAAATACGGCAATCGCAAAGATGCGTCGAAGTAATAAAGCATCAGTCGAGTTCAGTCACAGCTGTCGCGGTGCAGATTTGAAAGACATCCGTGGGCGGCGACATCAGCGCCCCTGTACATATTGTGTAACTATAGAGCCTTGTATTATAGAGTATAGCTTGGGCCTCCCGCCCGGACGCTGCGGCGAGCGGCCTGCTCGCTGTCCCGCGCGGGGCCGAGCTGTCGGTGCTCGCGGACGCGCCGCAGTCGAGGAGCATCCCGAGCGTATCGCTTGTAATGCATCATTGGATTATATCTTTAGTTAAACATAATATGAATAATTAAGCATTAGAAAGCATGTTTTTATGAATCCATAAACGATATTTTTAAAGTACATAATAGATTGGTTTCTTATATGTATTCATAGATACATTACACGTGGTATTGCTAAAAGAGCTACGTCCCCGCTGGCGTTGCCTTTTCTATTGTATCTATCCGAACGCACGTTCTATATTATTTTTTAACATGACAAAAATTATGTGATCGTTTACAAGGTCTAAATTTATAAAAGATGTAGAATGTGTGTAATGTGATAATGAAGCAGCTCCGGGCCGCAGCGGGGCCGAGCCCGCGCCGCGTGACGTCACGCGCCCGCAGCCTCGTGCGCCGCGTGACGTCACGCGCCCGACGCCTCGTGCGCCGCGTGACGTCACGCGCCCGCCGCCTCGTGCGCTGCGTGACGTCACGCACCCGCCGCCTCGTGCGCCGCGCTTAGTCCTTCGCGCGAAACTTAACTTTCATCGGCACTGACGATGCGGCTGAGAGATTTCCTTTCGTAGAATTCAGACTATAGTATAGCGTTATTGATATTCATGTAACTAATATCTCGGATCGTCGGGAGTGCCATGTCTATTTGACTTTTTAAATAAAGAAAAGGCGCACCAAAAATATCCACCACAGAGTACAGAGCGCACGAGGCGGGGCCGCGGTGCTCCTCGACGCGCACGCTCGCGCCCGGGCGCCGGCGTCGCGAGCGTGTGTGCTGCTAGATACAAAATTGTATATAATAATGAATAAATATTTTTACAAAAGCATTTGGGTGTTTAATTTACGAATGAAACTCCAGCGGGTACAAAGTAGGTACACTGTATTTATCAGCTCCCCGCGCCGAGCCCGGCGGCTTGTAATAAATAACATAACATTTACAATAGTATACATACTCTGCGAATATCACAATTGCAGTGTATCATGATAAGTGGGTTAAAACAACTAGTCGAAAGTGGGTGAGTGGCACTCGGCCGTCCCGAGATGAGACGCTCGCGCGGCCTCTCGGGGCGAGCCTACTGACACCTTCACTGAACACAAAATACACTGATCGAACCATACAATATACAATGGGAATAAACTGATATCACTTGAAATGCATAAAATATACATAAACCTTTGCAACGGGACGGACAAACATAAATGAATCATTGTCTTTTCTGATAATTTCTTTCGCCTAAATGTGGCACGCACGCGTGACGCGTGATACTCCTGCTCGAGCCGTGCCTGACGTCGTCGCAACTGGCGACGCGCGGGCACGAGCCCAGTGTCGGACTGTCGGCCGCAGTCCGCCGGGCGCGGGTCCGGGCCGCCGCTCGGCGTCGCCGCGAATATAAAAATAAAGTAAACCTAGTTTCACTATTCACAAGTCGATCGCGCGAATTTTCCTCAGTATAAAAAGTGAACTATTCTCTCCTCCCCTGCGTTTATTTACATAGCGTTATTTCTGAAACGAAAAACATTTTTTTATTAAATAGGTATGACATTACATTTGTACCTATCACAATCAAAATTTTATGATATCTAATTTATCAATCGGCAAATCGGACACGTCCCTCGGGAACGATAAAAAAACGGCCAATAAAACGCGGATCAAAATAAGCTTCGCGGCGTGGTCGACGGTCAGCGTCGGGGCAGCAGGTGAAAGATTCGATTGGCGGAAAAGATGCTCTTTAAGATTTGTCGTGCGGTTCGGTCAGAATGTCGTCTACAAAGAAGATGTCGCGCTTTAGATGACACGTCGCGTCAGTCTCCCGCCGCATCACCTGGGCATGGCGCACATCTCGCACTGGTCGTGGCGCGCCGCGTTGTGGAAGGTGCACAGCGGGCACGTCCACACCGCCTCGCCCGCGCCCCCCGCGCCGCTCGACGGCCCGCTGCGGACAACACAACAAATTAAAAAAAATCGTTTGCACATTCAAAAGGGTTACACAAGACGAGTTCGATCGCGAACCTCGCACGTCGAGCGAACGACGAACTCGCTCGGCGTCGAGCGTTGTACGGTACCTGCGCACGGGCTCGGCGTCGTGGTCGGCGTCGGCGCGCGCCAGCTGCTCCAGCGTGGCGGGCTCGGGGCGGCGGCGCCAGGCGTCGGCGGCGGCGGCGTCGCGCGCGCGCACGGCGTCCAGCAGCGGCTGCAGCGTGGGCCAGTCCAGCGGCAGCGCGTCGTTGGTGGCCAGGTACAGCAGCACGTGCAGGTCGCGCACGGCGTCCAGGAAGCTGGCGGCGCCGCGCAGCTGCGCGTGCAGCGCGGCCGGCGTCTGCAGCTGCGCCTGCAGCGCGCGGTGCGCCGGCGGGAAGGCCGCGGCGGGACAGAAGGCCGGCTCGCCCGCGCCCGCGCCCGCCACGCCGCACGGCACGTCCACCAGCAGGTACGCCACGGGCACGCGCTTGGCGGCCACGCCCACCTCGTTGCCGTACACGTCCTTCTCCTGCAACACGGGTGCGCCTGACAACTCTTCGTGTGCCCTTGCGACGCTCGAGCGCTCGAGACGCCGCGGCGGGCCCCGATTCTCTTACGGCTTCGCCGAAGCCCGAATTCGTCTCGGGGAGTTGGATTTTTATTTATAGCCGAAATCGAGATTACACAGTTTTAGGAGAGAGAACGAAATTAAAGGAAGGTAATAAAACTCATTTATTTTTGTAAGTAGGCTTTTAAAAAGCCCTTTTACTTAATGGTCCCCTTTATGATAAAAAAAAACCTTTATGAATCACATGGTTAAAAAGAGGAGTGATTTTTAACTTGTAATACTTTATTATTTTCATTGCGTTTATTTTAAGAATGTTAAGCTGCATTCAGTATTCCACCTAAGCATCGTAATTTTATCCACCAAAAATTTATTTGAAAAATTGTGGCAGGGTTACGGAGTACCTAGACGTGGTTATTCGATTATATGTAGGTATATTCGTGCCACTAAATAATTGAATTTTCTGAAAGATGTACAAGACTGTGATGATAGGTAATTAGCGGAGAGCGCGCGAGGGAAAGCAGAGAAGGGACTCGTTGAGTTTTTTTTAAATATCAGAGTTTATGGCGTGCCTTGGCTCTTGCGCCTTAGGATACTTGTGGCTCGCCCTGCCTACAGGCGAGTGTTATAATATTCTTGTTGATACATTAATACTACCTACATGTAGCGGCGTTTTATTTCGATATAGTCTATGAAGTGTGTCGCGGCTTGTTGATGTTATGTGTGCGACACACGAGTCTGAAGCGAATTCAAGATCAATAAATATGAAGCAGTAAAATAGCGTTTTATTTCACTCGTGTAACAAAATACAGCATTGCCTTTTTTTATAAACATAAGTAAGTATTGCACATATTACTAATAGTCCCGTTAGCCCCTCGTGTTAAGCTAAATAAGCTTGTGTTACGAGTGGGCTCACCACAACAGTCGAGCGGTGGGATTCGAACCCGCGTTCCTCGGATCTCGAGTCGACCAGTCCGACCCCTTCACCGTTCGGCTATCGTGGCTATAAGCCCACAGGGAAGATCCGTTCAGTTGTTCAATGAAAGGTGAGTTGTATAAAATATTTGTAAGTTCAAAAGTAATAGTAGGATCATAAAACACGAGATTTATCAAGTTTACAGGCCATTATCTCAGTATGAGTCAGCCAATAGTGTCTGTCACCAATCATTAAACTTTGTCAACTCGTGACCATAGTAAATAAGATTACAGTATAAGAACGCAAAATAGAACTTTAAAGTAAGTAAATATTTTGTTATTAATTTCTTATCACTACGGCTATTTAACCACTTTTGGGGATCTCGGCCAATGGAAATATTAGGTTAGGAATAATTAATTGTTATGGAAATAAAGGAATCAAGGTTAAAAAAAATCTAAAAAACTGCCCTAAAAGTCCCAATTTGTTCAGTATCGTTCGCGGCTTTTTGTAGGATCTAAAGTGTGTTACTTTGCATCCTTGCCATATTCACAGAGATAAAAGTAGGGAACAATACCAATACCTATCATTTTAGTTAATTAAGAGACTCCCATAAAGGAGGACATAAGTTTTTAGTAAGTTTGGTTTTACAGTACAAATTGGAATAAACCAATGTTGTCTCGCACTTCAACAGGCACAATGGAGAAGTTTCGTGATTTGTGCTCAGTCAGTGTCAGTAATATAGTTAAAGCCTGGTCCGTGAGCACGTAGAATCCCGTCCAATGACCCCAAGCTACCCATCCCTATCGCTCGCGCGTAATTATGTTGCTATGGGTTACGCGCGAGCGATAGGGATGGGTAGCTTGGGGTCATTGGACGGGATTCTACGTGCTCACGGACCAGGCTTTACCTCTGTAAATATGGCAAGAATGCAAAGTAATACCGTGTATAAATAAAATGACAGTGCAATGTACACTGGCGGCCGAGCGTACCTTGTAGTAGACGTCGGGCACGTACTGCGCGGGCCCGGAGTCGCGGATGTAGCCCAGCTCGGGCGCGTCGCGCGTGGGCAGCAGCACGCCGTCGCGCACCAGCGCCTGGCACTGCGCCGACACCTGGTAGCCCTCCATGTGCACCTGCTCGTTGCTGTCGCCTGCGAACACCCGAACCTCGTTTGACTCGATCGTTAACGACGAGACCGACCCGAATAGAAAAACGGGGGTGAACGAATCTCACCGGTGACGCAGACGGTGACGAACTTGGAGCCGAAGTAGCCGGAGGCCGCGTGGCGGCAGGCGCTCGGGTGCAGGTTCTGGAAGTGGCCCGCCGTGATGCACTCCTGCGCCGACAGGAAGTGCGTGTCCACGCCGCTGCGCAGACAGATCAACGTTCAAGCACGTACATATTCAACGTTCAGAGAACAAATATAAGGTTTAATACTATTTTAGCTAATATGCGTTTTCCGTGATCTCACTGAGAAGAAAAGAAACGGTGAGCTTTCGAACGGGACACAGCGTAAGCTTCACGGCCAGCTGGTGCGGGGTGCGCTCACCGGATGTGCTGCACGGCGCCGGGCGCGGCGGCCAGCAGGTCGGTGAACAGCCAGCCCACGCGGCGCAGCCCCAGGCGGCGCGCCAGCTCGTCCAGCGCGGGCTGCTTGGGGTCGGGCAGCAGCGTGACGGCGTCGCGCGACGAGCTCTGCGCCGGCTCGTACACGGCGGCCACGCGCGCGCGCACGCCCAGCGGCACGTCGGGGTGCGCCTCGTAGCGGCCGTACAGGTAGCCCACGCGCTGGTGGCCCGTGGCGCGCCAGTAGCCCAGGAAGCGCTCCACCAGCGCCGGGTGCTCCACCACCACGTTGTCCACGTGCCGGTACGGCTGGCGCAGCAGCGTCACCGGGCCCGGCTGGCACTTGGAGCAGATGCCGCGCGGCCACGGCGGGTGCTCCTTGCAGCCTGCGCGGCCCGGGGAGACCATTGATGTTACGAAAATTATTATATGTAGGAATCTATTTTTAAACGGTTTTATCGTGAGTAGGTTTTAATATTGAAGATGTTACCCACCTGGCTTAATTTTGCAGGACATCTCTTCCAATGAGATGAATTTCCCAGAGGTCATCTTACGCAGATAGGAGTGAAACGACATGTGCTTGATGTTGTGCTCCTTTAGGTAGCCCTCGTCCCACGGTTCCAACGGAGAGCAGTGCACGCAGCATCCTTTTGAATTGTGTCTGCATCTGTACACAATGACATACGAAATGTGTCAAATATTTGTTTTAATTTTAACAAAAGGATTGTAGTGAATGACTGTGTAGTTCATTTCTAATTTTCATTGACAAAGCACCAAGATGAAGTCTTACAATTTTTCATCTCTATTCCTCTGGATGGCTCCGGACTGAGCGTACAGGAGAATGTCCACATCGTCCTCTACAGGCGCTGCAGGGCGCGCGGCGGCGTCCGACGACGGGCCCGCTTCTACCGGCTCACCGAAGGACTTGTTGTTAGCCTGCTGATGAACACACCATTTTTAATATAAATAGCACATAGCGTACTTCACATATCACATTCACCACGGCTCGTGGGAGGCACCTCGGTGCTGGTGGAGGGCTGGTCCTTGAGCACGGAGCCGTTGACGGGGCTGAGGTACAGCATGTCGCCGTGCTGCAGGCCGGCGTCGCGCAGCGTGCGCTCGCGGCTGGCGGGCAGCTCCTGGCGGCGCGCGCGGTCGCGGTGCAGCGCGAAGGCGCACGAGCCCAGCGCCAGCGCGTCCCGCACGCGCTCGAACAGCGCCGCCGTGGGCGAGCCCTCCGCCAGCTCCACGCGCGCCGTGCCCTCCGCCGACTGCACCCGCAGCGTCTGAAACCACCGCGTCACGATTTACGTACGTCCGTCGACTCATCCGAACGATGGCGTTTCGTGAAATCGCCGTTGCCCCGCCGAGGACGACGAGGTCGTGTCGTAGAGACCGCCAGAGAAGACCTCTCTTGAGCCTCCTGCGATGTGAATGTGCCCTCGGATAGGCTACTGTTTTCTATCACCGATTTCGCAAAATCCGCACACACTTTTGATCTGAACTGACTGTGCTAGGTTTAGTATTCTTTGGAGGATATGAGTGACGTCTTACCATTTTCTTTGAACCAGACATTTTTTAACTAAACTAAAATAACTGCACAATACCAACAGTTCACTGACATAACAATCATGACATGACAATTTTGACATGGAAATTTGACAGCATGACAACGACGGTTTTCTTTTTTAAATGCGAACCAATGGTTGCGACCCCAGATCACGTTTTATACAGCCTTGTAAACATATTAGAAAAACGTTTTTTTATTTATTTATTTATAAAAAAGAAAAAACCTTTTTTTATATTATTTTAAGAAAGATTTCTTGCCGAAATATAAAAACTAGAAAATGCATTGGAGACAAGAAAAGGCACAGTTTATCTTNTTAATTTATGAAAATATCAAATTAGCCCGTAATCCTGAATCCTGATACATAAAGTTAGCCTATTAATTTAACACAGGTACGACTGTACTCAGTGTTGCACTATCAAATGCAATTGCAGCGCCTCTGTGCCAGGGTTTTTATGTTCCTGGTCAGGCTATAGATGATTTGATGTGCAAAGAACTATGATTCCAAACAAGCTGTTTCATAAATTTTATTGCCCATAAAAAAAGCAAGTGTCAAACTTGATTTTGTCAAGTCAGGCCTGTCATTTTCATCAGCTCAAATCAGCTGTAATTTATCAACACAAAATCTATTTTTAAAATCACAGTTTTAAAATATTTTCAAAAATATCTTTGAATAGGAAAATTTCTAACTAAACCTTGGTCCATAATAAGTTGTGTGGAGTAGAAAATTTGAAATTTACGTAAGTATACATTTTTTTTGGGAGGATATTTCATAGGTACCCTCAAAATTGTTTTGGAACCATAATGAGCAGGTATGTGTTCTTATATTAGTACATTTCCTGGTAATAAAACACAGTTTACACACCAGAGAGCGGAAGAGGTCGCAACGGGAGCGAGAGTCGTTCTCAAGTGATGTCTTTAAATAGTGCGTCGCTCGGGGCGGCGCTCGCGGCTCGCAGTCGAGGTGTGCAGGTGGCGGCAGGTGTCCCGCGCCGCTGCACCGCGAACGCGCTCCTCCTGCGCTGCTCTCGTAGCGAAATATTTACGCTTACACGCTCTATAAAATTTGAAACTGCGAAAATTGAAATAAATGTGAAGTCACCTATTTATTGAATACTAAGTTACAATAAGTCATTTTACTAAAGGTATTTTGTGAAGTCAGTTAATTGCATAACTTGTGTTCTGTTTAGTGTTTTATGTTTTGAAGGTAAACATCACTTTTCAGTATAGGATAATGCCATCTATAGTTCTTCTTTAATATGTAACAACTGACTGCTGATTGGACTTACAAATCGTCCATTTGCGACGACAATGTGACATCTTCTGTGTTAATCTTATTGAAGATGTCACACTGTCGTCGCAAATGGACGAAATATAAAATTGTTTATTCAGAATCTCAAATATAACGGTTGGTCTTTGAAATAAATCATAAAGAGTAAAACAAATTGGAAATTATCAACATTAGTTTTGTCAATAAGTTTTAATAAATGTTCATGTCACCAGCGAGCCATGGCTTCCGAGGCCGGGGTGCCTGTGGAGCTGTACATCTACGACCTCACCAACGGCATGGCGTCTTTGCTCTCCCCTGCTATTATTGGTGAGTTATAAAATTCTTGTGATTGTTAAATGTCATAAGGTTTATGACACATTACTTGATTTCATTCCAACTTCATATAATTTAATTCTCTTTAACTCAACCCCAACTTTTAATTCTCTTCCTTTTTTTGTTTGTAAAGTAAGGGGAATTATACGATGTTTGTTTATGCAAATATTTCATAATTCCCCTTAATTTACAATTAAAAAAAAATTGAATAAAGGTTAATCTTGAATGTTAAGCTAGGATAAGCTTTTTTATAATCCAACATTATTAGAATAAATCGATCAATTATTTATTTTATTTATTTATCAGGCTAGCTACATGAAACTCATAAAACTCATTTATTTTTGCAAATAGGCTTTTAAAAAGCACTTTTACATGTCCCAGTATTAACCCTACCACTGTGCACTGCTTCGGGACAATAAATGTTCTGTAATATTAAACAACAACAAAAAAAGCTAACTACTCCCACAAAAACGGACGGGCTGGTGCAGAGGACTGCATGCACTATGTGTACTATCATATGTATGACTGACTCCACTTTAAAAGCCTGCCACTCTGCTTTTCCTCGTAGTTGATTGCAGCAGCCCGCGGCAAGTACGTGGCCGAGCATTATGCACGCCATGTTTAAAATTGCCACAAAATGTTGCTTATCATTTAGTGGCAATTTGAAACTTTGTTGGCATTCCCTAAAATAATGAGATGTCTGTAGGGATAGTAGTAACTTTGTACGCGAACTTTTCGCGACCTACTTTCAAAGGACTGACACACGCATCTCACTCACCACCGAATCTGTTTCAAGGACTGTTTTGTTGTTCTACTTACGACTCTTTAAATAATCCTACGAGCAATCACTCATATTGTTATGCGATTTGACAAAATTCTGCTATGAATTTTCATAGCTTTTTTGTGGTAAAAGGTTTTTCTTTTTATTTTAAATGACATTCATTTGGATGGTAATGACGAATACATACAATGTACAGAGTGGTCCCAAACTATTCCATTGCTGAACAAAGGCGTCCAGTCGTTTCTGCTACTTGCACCAATTCATTGGTCCACCGGGTAGCAGACTTACCTATGCTAAAGCCTGGTAAATTTAGTTGAGTGAAGAAGTAATGAAGTAGCTAACCGTGTCCGCCGAACACCAAAAATTTAGTCGAGTAGGTTACAAAATTACTCTATTAGTGCGAACAAGGCTTTAGTCTTCCGGCCCTTATGGTCGCTACTCGAAACCGTTTCTGCGGTCAACGGCCATTAGCTCTAAGAGCTATGTGCCCTGATTGCCACTTAGGATTGGCAATAGTGACTGAGTTTCTTGCGCTGCTTCTTCTCAGCACTGGCCCATTTATTGTCCCGAAGCAGTGGTAGGGTTAATATTGGGACGTGTAAAAGTGCTTTTTTAAAGCCTATTTGCAAAAATAAATGAATTTTATGAATTTATTTTAATTCAGCATCAATATAATCGGCGAGTTAGACACAATGCTCGATAGCTCCAATAGATCCTCTTAATGAGTGGGGCTAGAATTGAACATGATCAAGACAAAATCGATGTCAAATAGTATGTCCATGGTGCATCGGCCCTTGCGAAGATTGGAGACCAAACTTGCAGTTGTTGACGATTAATATCTTGGGCCACCAACTTCTTGTATACGAGTGTATCGAGATCAGTCTCAAAACTCAGGTCTGACCAGTCTGTTAGCAATGATTTACTAATTATTATTAGTAATTTAATAATTACTAATTTCGGAAACATTAGTTTAGCTGGAGGTGCTATGACATAAATTGAAAGTCTTATGTGCTGTTGTTGCTGTATGACTCTACACACTCATTTGGCGTTTCAGGCCGCCAGATAGAGGGCGTGTGGCACACATCGATCGTGGTATACGAGCGGGAATTCTTCTACGGCGGCAGCGGAGTCACCAGTTGCGCTCCTGTGAGTACGGCACTTTTGTAAAAAAAAATGGGAGCAGAACCCTATGTAAGCATGCAGATTTGTTAACTACAGAACATGCAATTTGTTTAATCGAACCGTTAATTCTTTTATGGAAGACCAGCCGATATATGTATTGTCCCGAAGTGGTTATAGGGCAAACTACATATATTTGGGACTTGAATGTCCTAATTACTTTTATTTTATAAACCGTAAAATACACGTAGATTTGTTAACCAAACAACGCGAGTGTGTATTGGTCAATCAGTGAGCTGTCTGATTTAAGGATTCAAGTAAATTCTGTACCTGTTTCAGATTTGGCTAAATTAGAATATTTCCTGGTATGTAACATCGTAAACCACTCGTCAGCTCTATTAGCTACTTTCCACACAATCGGAGCTTAAAATAAAACCACTGTGGTTTCATTCACATAGTTTATTTATGCGCTCATCAATGCCATATTATGACACGTAAATCACGTGTTATAAAGAGTTCACGCACGATACAATTTTCGGAATTATAGTTTTCAAAATTCTTCTACGTGACTCACAACAAAAGGGTTAGGTAAGGGTTAGGTACATACTCAGTTCCGTTCATACTATTCTGGATAGTAGTTTATTTCTGGAACTAAATAACAACGATATTAACAATGTCGTTACTAAATACATTAATCCTTAACCAGTCTCTGGTATCCACAAAGCCCACATCTATTTAAACTAAGTATAATAATATGCTGTGAAGATACGGTTGAAAACAATAACTCTTTTTTGAGCCTGGTTAAGGGTTAATAGAATTTTATTATCTGATGTAACAACCTGCTTTGGATACATATTTAGCATATTGAATTATTGTGCTTTGACCACTAGTTGTCATTGAAGGTAAGACATGGTTGAGTTATACGGAACACGAGTTGCCATACTGCGTCGCGCTCTTTGAGACATGTTATCGCAATATTTCCATCTATGAGCGAGCGCTTGGCAGCGCGTGCGCCGCCCCGCGCCAGCCGAGGGCCCTCAATCATGCTCCGATCGCGACTCGTCACGCGAATACTGAAGCGACATACGACTAGGAAGTATACGGTTTTTATGAACGTGACAAAATTATATTTTATTGTGAGGGCTGAGTCGTAGTAACAGCGACATTTTAATACATACAGGGTGGAAACGTTAAGTGATCTCACTCGATTATTTCTAAACTATACAAGATATTGAAAAACTGGTTACTGATCCTGAAAGTGCTTCATGAGCTCTTTCAAACGTTACCAATAATAGGTTACAGAATAAACAGGATCTATCTGAAAATTTAATGTTTCCAGCTTCCATACTAAATGTATGCCAGACACACAATATTAGAAATGTATTTTTTTTTATTTAATAATAAACTCTTAAAATAAACTCGTAAATTGTATTCTTATTTTAAATTATTCATGGAAAACATTGGTTTTAGGCTTTACTTGCTATAATATTGTCAAGAGACGAGTGTCATGACTGTGGTAGTACTAAATGTATGGAAGAAGGAAACATTGAATTTTTGGATAGATCCAGTTTATTCCGTAACCTATTTATTGATACCATTGGATAGAGCTTGTGAAGCACTTTTAGAATCAGTAATCTGTTTTACGATATCATGTGTAGTTTTTAAAATAATGTGACTTTACCTAATGTATGGAAGCTGGAAACATTGAATTTTCGGATAAATCCAGTTTATTCTGTAACCTGTTATTAACACCGTTTGATAGAGCTCATGAAGCACTTTCAGGATCAGTAACTAGTTTATTTATATCGTATATAGTTTAGAAATAATCGAGTGAGATCACTTATCGTTTCCACCCTGTATAAAAACAGACGTCACTCTGATGGTTCCTGTGTTAGATGATGATTGATGGTATGAGCCCAACACTTCTTTAACTGGTTTTGAATTGCTGAAAGCTTAGGACACCTCTAGCATTCTCACGAGTAAACATAAAATCGTTTTTGTTGTTTTACTATCATAGCAAACCATCTGATCCCTATTATGCTGTGTAATTCATTAACAATGTATGTGTTGTCTTTTGTATAATTCTAGACTTCACAAACCTGTCTCCGTTGATTGATGGCAGTGATACATTACATAAAACTGTCAAAACAATAAGCGAGCGAATTTCACAAATGAAGACAAGAATATTTTGAATGAGATGATGTTTATTAACGGATTAGTTTATATCCCGTTGTTCAATCTCACTCATCAAATCAAAGCGCAAAAGCGTGCGCGTCGCGTTAATGTCACGTGTAATATTAGACTAGTATTAATACATTTCATAACTCGCGCGCATTCTTCGCATTGTGGTATTTTTATCTTATTACGCTATACATACGAATTCATAACAACACGTGTCCAGTGTAAAAGGACATCCTCATCGCACATCCTATCACTTGTGACTTCCAGACGCGCTCAGCGAGAGGGGGATACGGGAGTTCAAATTAGATCGGTCTCATTTATACATCGTCAGATTGTAAACATTGTCTATTTCAGTCGGCGGCGAGGCGCCAATATGACAATAACTAAATACTTACTATAAAAACTTTACCTGAGTTTCTCTCGTATTTTTGTGTATTGGACGCTAAGCTCGTTATGCAAATAATGATAATGTAGCGCGGTCATTAGTTCCTTTTTAATTTAATCTCGGGTTACTGAACCGGTGATATTTACAAGCTTTTTATTACTTTCTTTTTTAAAAGTTATGGGAATAAAGCAAGTCGAATTCAGCCCGAATTTATGACGACAGTATCGGCCGCATTTAGCAGGTCCCTCATGCGAAATTTCGTCGAAGCATAAACAGACGATAAAACCGCGTGGGTGCGCCTGCGCTTCCCACGACCAACGTGGGGACTGGTGTATTTGAACACCTTTCGTTTTCATAAATATTGATTAATCTTACTCTTGCATCGATACTCTATTAAGTCTATGAGTAAAACCTGTTGATAAGAACATGACGACAAGACCAGTGAATCAGTAGTCGTATGATAGCCGTTGTGTGCTAAATACCAGAATTTTCGTCTATTTTCAAGACTTCAAATACACGGAAACTAAGCGTGGGTTCATAAATTTCTCAAAGCTATTGCTGCATCTTGGCGGGCCAGATCTATGCAGCGGCGAACGGCGACACTCGCACGCATTGTGTGTATTTGGAATCTCTCAAAATACCCGCGTATTCCTATGCAGCCGGGCGTCTCGCTCACTCTCACCCTCAAGCTGAACTATTCGTCTCTTTTCCACACTGCATTCACTGCCACAATATAGTCGGCAACAACTTCTACCCTTTTTGATCATTATTTCTAAAGGCACAAGGTAACTTTTCCAGTGCTACTGCTGTTCTTGTATTCCTAACGCTCATTTAGCACACGCCACTGGAATCCACGAATTGCTAAGGTGACTCCATTTCCCAAATGTCAGACGTCAGTCCTGTATGTTAACGCAAAATAATTCTCATTACTGCTTGGCGACTTCAACATGCTATAAATCTTAATGAAAACATCCTGGTCATTGTTGCATAGAAATTATTTTAAAAAAAGTTTCGTGTGTAAAAACCTGCTTGTTTTTTTGCTTGAATGCGATTCAATGAATTATTAACATGAACTATTTCATTTATTTACTTAATGACATATTACGTATTTTATTTCTATTATAAATAGATGAAGCATTATACAGTGTGAGTCACGTTAAAGTGTACATGGGGCATTCCACGCGAAGCGGGCAGGTAAAAAAAGTCGATGTTTCCGATTTCAGTAATATTTGAGTATGTTCTACCTATACATATTATTGATACGTGTACCAAATATTTTTGTAATATAATGACTAGTTTAAGAGTTATGGGTCTTCGAAGTTTTCGACAACCGGTTGGCATGCAGTACTTCAAAGCCGATTATGGAGTCATAAAATTATATATTAAAATAATTAAACCACGCGATTTATTACTTCATTTACCGTGCTTTTTAACTGTATTTTTGGAAACGAAAAAAAAATTATTTTTTCCTAAAAAAAATGCAAATTAATTTTTTTTCCTTGATTTTCACAAAGTTCGACCCTTTCGATTTTTTTTATTTTTTTTATTTAAATAGCTAATATTGTGTAGAACATTCATGCCAACTTTCAAAGTGGGCGTGGAAGTGGATTCGGAGCTAGACTGAAAATACTGCCGAAGGGTGGCGTCCAGCGCCGCGCCGTCGCGCTGCCGCGCCTGAAGCCCGCCGCCTGTGCGCGTTTAGTGAAACTGACAAGCAAATAAAATCACTTTTGACGGAATGTTTTTTAGATTTTTAATAACACCAATACATTTTTAGTACCTATTAAATACTAAAAAATACGTTATGGCCAGGCTTGTTCTTACTCGGACACTGAAAGGATCGCTCCGAACTCCGAAAATCGGTCAAATGAACTAGTTCGGTCTTCTAGTACTATTAACTAGCACATTTTAGTACACTGATTCTATTAGGTAGATCGAACGAAAAAAGTCTTTATTCATATGCATTTATGGTCCAATATCGAAAAATACTCGCTACACACTCACAGAGCCGAATCCATCTCGCTCGCGCGCGGTTGTCACCAATTTCACGTCTCGTTCACACCTATTCATTAGTGATCGGCTGTACTAAAGTGAACTAAAAGACCGATTTGAACGACCAAGACGGAATAGTTCGTTCTCGTTCACTTAATTAAAGGAATTGCTTCCTATTAGTACATAGTACATGTACTACACAAGCCTAGTTATGGCGTATCCGCACATGCCGGGCGGCACGGCCGGTTCGGTTCGGTTCTGGGTATTAGTCCTGACCTAAATTAACTGGTGGATCTATTAATCCGGTCCACAATATCTTCTAATTACCAATAATTTACGACCTTTCAAAAGACTAGATAGAATGAAAGGTCTAGTATTCATTATATCTAAAAATTATTATGAGCCACTTAATTTCATAGGAATAGGATGAAAGCACTGACGACCGTCTGCCTCCCACATAATCGCCTTTTGTAACTCGAAAGGTATAAAAATAACAGCTCATTCTATTTTTGTTAGGAAATATTCACAGTTACGAGTAATGTAATTTATTTTTCACGATACGGAAAAACGCAACTTTATTTACTACTACTACTTTATTTTATAACGTATTTTAGTATTTAATAGGTATTAAAAATGTCTTGGTGTTATTAAAAATCTACAAAACATTCCGTCAAAAGTGATTTTATTTGCTTGTCAGTTTCACTAAACGCGCACAGGCGGCGGGCTTCAGGCGCGGCAGCGCGACGGCGCGGCGCTGGACGCCACCCTTCGGCAGTATTTTCAGTCTAGCTCCGAATCCACTTCCACGCCCACTTTGAAAGTTGGCATGAATGTTCTACACAATATTAGCTATTTAAATAAAAAAAATAAAAAAAATCGAAAGGGTCGAACTTTGTGAAAATCAAGGAAAAAAAATTAATTTGCATTTTTTTTAGGAAAAAATAATTTTTTTTTCGTTTCCAAAAATACAGTTAAAAAGCACGGTAAATGAAGTAATAAATCGCGTGGTTTAATTATTTTAATATATAATTTTATGACTCCATAATCGGCTTTGAAGTACTGCATGCCAACCGGTTGTCGAAAACTTCGAAGACCCATAACTCTTAAACTAGTCATTATATTACAAAAATATTTGGTACACGTATCAATAATATGTATAGGTAGAACATACTCAAATATTACTGAAATCGGAAACATCGACTTTTTTTACCTGTCCGCTTCGCGTGGAATGCTCCACATATGAAAATAAATGAAACTAGACCTATTTTTATCGACAAAAAAGAGTTCAAAAAATTTTTTAGATTTTTTTTTAATTTTTTATAGAATTTTTTTTCTTCCAATTACTTATTGTAAAGATAACGTAATAACTTTTAAACTAAGCGGTATATCCTGATAAAATAAAAACAGTAATAATGCTAAATAACAGGCGATACTAAAAAATACATAAAATGCACAAAAAAGGCCAACAAATAATAAAAAATTATACTTTTTGAAAAAAAAAATTGCTTTTAAATTCATGTTTTTTTGGTTATTTGATCAATTTCTCCAAAAAATGCCCATATAACCGGTGGTTTTTATCACTTTATATTATTCTCTATCGTATTATCTTTGTAAAACCAAAAATCGCATGTCTCTATCGAAGGGCGCGCAATCCTCACGCGTTGGTTCCCGCTGAAAACCAGCTTCTCGGCATGACGTTTGTGTCATGTCGCGATTTTTGCTGAGCGGGCGCCTGTTCAGCATATTTTTATTTTAAGTTAATTTGTCCACCATATTGTGCTGAATAAAGACTTTCTTATTCTTAATACTTTGTGCAGGGCGGCACGCAGCTTGGCCCGCCGCACCAGACGGAGCGGCTGGGCGAGACCTTCGTGCCCTTCCAGGTGTTCGTGGACTACATCCAGGGGCTCGCCACGACCTCCTACACGTCAGTATCATTCATTATATTTATAAGCTTTTCGTTTGCTGCCTGTTACTTCTGCTTTGAGCGCCAGACTGCTCGTCGTAGAAATCCTTTGTTGTGCAGCTGTGTACGTCATTTGGCTGAAACTACGACTTCTGCTTTGAAATAAATCGGTTAGTTACTGTATTTCGTTAAACTCTTCTCAGAGATTATTCAAGCTAGAAAAATCACTGGTCAGGTTTATTGAAGGTCAGGCTGTAGGCATAGTCAACTGCAAAAACATAGTTTTGTTTTGAAAATAAAAAAAAACTGCCAACTCGAGCGACGGCGTGTGTGACGCCCTTTCCCTGTGCAGGCCGTCCGCCTACCGGCTGCTGGAGCACAACTGCAACCACTTCAGCGAGGAGGTGGCGCAGTTCCTGTGCGGCGCGCACGTGCCCAAGCACATCGTCAACCAGCAGGAGCACCTGCTGTCGCCGCCGCAGCGCCTCGCCGTGCAGGCGCTGCTCGACAACCTCGTGCCGCACTCCACGCAGGTACTCACGGGCTTCATCTACTGAGGGCTTCTTTACAGTGCCGTATTATCCATAAGGCACTTTAGGCCAGTGCCTAGGGGCCCACTATGACCAGGGGCCCAGCACTCCCGATTAAAAAATGAAAAAAAAATGTTAAAGATGATGTATCAGAAAAGGTAAATTTTCAAGAAGTTTTAAACGATTTTGTATCTCAAAAAGTTAGAAGGGTTAATAAATATTTAAACATGCTTCTTAATCAGTACAATATGTACATTTTTATTTTTTAATGTTTGTTAGTTTTAATTATAAAAATATGCAAGATTTTCCTAAATGTTTCATTTTTAAATGACTCCGATACTTCGTCCTGTAGATTGTGGCGAAAGTATTTTCACTTGAAGGAAGGCGTATACCTTGGCAATGTGATGACTGAAGTCTGTTGTTGATAATGATGGTACCTTCATTCAATTTCGTAATGTAGACAGTAAAAATTTCCAAATTGCGTTGTTGTTGTATGAAAAAAGGGGGACCCGAAACGAGCTGTGCCTAGGGGCCCCGAGACGAGCTGTGCCTAGGGGCCCCGAGATTGTTAATCCAGCCCTGCTTCTTTATAATAAAAATATTTAAAACGAATGAGGCCGTTTGTAAACATCCGTTATTTTTTACCGGACTACGGCCCGATATTTTCGCCGGATTTAGCGGTGGTTTAAGATGAACGTGTGCATCGGACATAGGTCCGGCGAGAAAATTACAGCAAACAAAGGATTCTGTATTTTGAAGGTCCGTCGTCCGGTGAAAAAACTGCCTGAAAGTTCTAATAAACGAATGCGCACGAGCTGTTTAATGGTGATTGCGAAAGTAGCATACAATACGTAGGTCCACTCACATTCCTTAGTATTTATAGGACATTAAATGAATTTAGAAAATTACGAGCCTATTATAGGGGAGTTGGCGAGTATTACGTGAACTGAAGTCCGTTTTCAGAGTCCGGGCACCGACAGCGAGCCCGGCGCCGGTCGCTCCGACGCTCCCCAGTAGGATTAATACTAATATTCCACTCTGTGAGTTGATTGAAAGTTACCAGATCTTTTCTTCTAAATTATAGCGTGATGATGTGCAACTACAAATCCATTAATGAAACAAATATTTTTCTTCCCGTAGGCAGAACCTTTAACTAGGTTTAGTAGATGAACTTTTTGATGTGAATATTTTCCAAAACATATTTTATTTTGTGGGTGATGTTCCATGTGTTTGGTCGCAGTCAGTGTACGCGAACGGCGTGCGCCACAGTCGCCAGGACAGCCCTGAGTACCTGACGCTCAACAACCAGATAGAGGAGGCGAGGTAACTTATTATGCTTCTTACATTTTCATAGAAACGCTTACTATAAATAACAAATGCATCTTTTTATTGTGTAACCAATATTAACTGCTTTAAGTTTTATCACTGACCAATGATTAGTCACCCATTTTATTTTACGTGGTTTAACTTTGGCGCGTTTAGTTAAGATAGCGTTCGATTCGAATGCAGTTTAGTTTATCGAACGGTTCACGCATTCGGTGTGGCGTCTCGTATTTTTTCCCTGATACGTGGCAAAGCAAAATTATGACAAACATTACTTGCTTTTACGAACGAATGATTTTGTATCACATTTATTAACTTATGTCATTTATCAACATGAACATGTTCAGGCGAATGAGCTGCTCATTTAGTTCAAGCGGAGACGCCTGAGCCGAGCCTGAACCTGAGTGCTCAGCTGTCTCCACTTGAGCGCTGAGCATGCTCAAGTCGATACGAGGCCTACACTTAATCAGACTTTAAAGCAACGCAGGACACTCAGAGTGTACAAAGTATTATAGTGCACATGATGCAACTCAGAATTAAGTCGGAACGAGGAGGTAATTTCGCCGAGGACCATAGCAAAATATTCTCAAAATGAAGCTCCGAAAGAGAGAGGGGTCGACGAGGGAGGGGTGAAGGTCGAGCGGGCGAGACAACCGGCCGGGGCTGGATGAGAAAGTGGGAGGTCACACTGTTGCGTTCATCGGGCGGGTGTTCGCCCCGGGCCGCGTCAACGTCGCCGTCGGCCGCGACCGGCGGTACAGGCGGAGGTCCCCGGCAGGTGCGGCGGCGGCGGCGGCTGCGGCTGCGCGGCGTGCGCGATGCGAGCGTGCGTGCGCGGCGTGCGGGCCGTGGGCGCCACTGTGCGCGCCGCCCGCGCCGCGCGCGCTTTCCTGCAGCGCTGGCGCCCGCCCGGGCCCGCGCACCAGCACCGCCCGCTGTGAGCGCCTGCCGACCGGCAGCGGGCCCCGGCGGCGCCGCTCCGTTGACACGTTCGTTTGTTTTTCAAAATCAAAATCAAAATCAAAAATATTTATTCAGTTTAGACCACAAGTGGCACTTATGAACGTCAATAGAAAATAAAAAAAAAATAAAAGGTAGCCCTTATGGGGCACTTTACATGTCTCCTTATCTTTTGGGACCTACCAGCGCTTCGAGACAAACATATGGCAAGTGCTGAGAAGAAACGCCTGAACAAACTTTCGCCCCGCTCCACGTCCGAGCACGCTCGGACGGTCTCCGTGCCCGACCGCACGAAACCACGTCTAAAGTTGCGTAGCCAAATATCACGATACAATTTTTACAGAGAGGACGACGCGACGACGGTAATTACCGTTGTGACCGAAACCGAAACTCATATTTTCACGTTTCACTGCGAATCATAATCTTTTCGTAACTGCGTCAATTTTATTTACTTCTCATCTGAAATATTAACATTTATCTATTGATATTATAATATTTATCGCTTGTTATATTATAATAGATGTCGTTGTTTAAATAAAAAATATATGTAGACCCGTTATGAAATTTAAATAAAAACCGTAATATCCTTTGTGAGCATTTTTATTTTTGTACTAACGAATCATAAATATTTATCAAACACTGCTACCGTGAGCCGTTACGTCGAAGAGGTGTCAAGGTATGAATTAACCTATTCCGTTCACTATAAGGGCCTCAACTGTAAAATTGTAAATGACCACTGAACTTAATTGAGATTGAAAATTCGTCTAATAACCTTTTCTTGAATTACTCATTTTGTGTCCACTTTACATTGCATAAACGGTGTGCGCAATCTGTAAATTGATTTTTGATTGTGATTGAATTCAAATATATTTGTCATGTTGATGTTAATGTTCTAATAGGCCAGTAGAATTAAACAAAAATGAATCAAATCGGAAATAATTCCTACAAAAGATTTTATTGCTTAATGGCTTCATTGGTTGCCCATAAAGACACTCCTAGGTTTTCGACTTCGACGGAGTTGTGCTTAAGTGGTGGGGCCGCCGAAAGGGGCATTTTTTCGGTTTTCCAGTTATACCGCGTAAAGGACTTACCCTATCGAAAAGTGATCTTCCTGACGGTTGAAGGGCACTTAATCCTGCATTAAATAAGACCAAATTCAAATGTTTTGGACAAACCGTTCTCGTGCTAATGTTCGGCAAAGTAGAAAATATATGTATAATTAATGACCCTCTCCACGTCCAATGGCTCGTTACCCGCAGGCTTTTAAGTCTTGAAAAGGACCGCCTAAACCAGTGTAACCCTATCAAGGCTTACGAGCTGGATGCGCCTATCCTTGTTCGTCCCAGCCGTTCCGTAACTGCGGTTGCTGCACCTCTTCCTTGCACTCTCCTGAACGACTCTGTGTTACCTACTGTGGCTGCCTCTCTTCCTTGCACCCTCCTGCACGACTACGTTGCCTAGCCGTATGCCTGGTCTAAGGTCTAAGGTTCGACGCCAAAAATCAACAACAACAAGTTCATATTAAAACGCTGAAGAGTTTTTTTGTTTGTTTGTTTGAACGCGCTAATCTCAAGAATTACTAGTTTGATTTAAATAATTATTTTTGTGTTGAATAGCTCATAAATTGAGCTTTCTCAATTATATTATACAATCACTCGAGGCGAAGCAGTAAAGAAAAATATTGCAATCACGGGAAATAGTATTTTAAACTATTTTCACGCATACGAAGTTGATTTTGTGGCGTCGAACCTTAGACCAGGCTTACGGCTAAGCAATGCAATCGTACAGGAGGGTACAAGCACAACAATGAATAGGGGCAACCATAGTAGATAACACAGATTCGTTCAGGAGAGAGCAAGTAAGGAGGACAAACAAGGATAGGCGAATCCAACTCATAAGCCTTGACAGGGATGCGCTGGTTAAGGCGACTCTTTACAAGGCTTGGGAGCCTAGGGGGACGAGATATTGGACGTAGAGAGAATTATTAATTATACGTACATTCTACTTTGTCGAAGATAAACACGAGAACAGTTTGTCCAAAACATATGAATTTGGTATTATTCAATGCAGGATTAAATGCCCTTCAACCAACATGAAGACCACTTTTCGATAGGGTAAGTCCTTTACGCGGTATAACCGGAAAACCGAAAAAGCGCCCCTTTCGGGGGCCCCCACCACTTAAGCACAACTCCGTCGAAGTTGAAAACATAGGAGAGCCTTAATAGGCAACCAATGAAGCCATTAAAACAATAAAATCTTTTGTAGGAATTATTTCCGATTTAAAATCTAATTCTACTGGCCTATTATCGTTTACTCACATTATTGCGATAAGGTAATAAGAATTGAACTGATGGTTGACATTTTGATACAGAGTACAGTCGGCTGAGCTGGAGCAGCGGCGCAGCACGCTGGCGGAGAAGCTCGCGCGCAAGGAGCGCAAGAAGGAGAAGAAACGCAAGAAGCAGCACGCGGCCGGCGACCACGACCCGGACGGTGAGTGCGGCTGAGTCCAGTCGGCCGAGCGGGAGCAGCGGCGCAGCACGCTGGCGGAGCAGCTCGCGCGCAAGGAGCGCAAGAAGCAGCACGCGGCCGGCGACCACGACCCGGACGGTGAGTGCGGCTGAGTCCAGTCGGCCGAGCGGGAGCTCGAGGAAGGTCTTCCCGAAGATTATGAACCGACACTGCTTCGAAACGCTTATTGGTAAACTCCTGACGCTTTGAAATGAGCAACAATTCAAAAACGAACCGGCATGCGCCTACGATAATGAACAACGCAAAATCTTATCTCGTAAACTTTGCCGGTGTTCGCGCCTTGCAGACGCGATGGAATTTTATAAATAAAACTCGGAAACTGCTTATTTCGTTGTATTCTTGAGACGTTACAATTTTGATGTTGTTCGATCGGAATCCAAAAGAGAAGTGATTTTACACAATGTTTAACTCAATATAAAGTATTGACGGACAAAAGTTATGTGACATTTACATTACAAGTAGATATTGCTATTGGAAAATGATGAGGCGCGAGTAGGGCCGCAACAGCCGGTGTGATAGATATTCTAGATATGTATGGATATCATACTCCAACAAAGTAATAAACTTGGAGTCATTGTGAGTGAAGTAATATTTGAGTAATAACTTTTATTGTAACTTTTATAGACAAGAGTACATGACTAAGGAAATGTGGCTTGTGGTGTATTCCTAACCTAAGATTTGCGTTTGGAACAGGCAAAGGAAATGTGAAATGATGATACGTAAAACACGTTGTAGAAATGCGTCTTACTAAAGCTTTCAAACCTTTTAAATTTTCTACATGATTCATTAGTAAATACTAGTTTTAGAAATTACGTACGCACAAGTACATTCTAAATAACCTATCGGTTCGCTGCGTATTTCCTTGTATCATCGCCCGGATGAACTCTCGAGTGGAGTTCAGGTTTTTGACCTCGTTGGCCCGTGTCGTGAATCCTAAAAAAAGAGCACCAGTGCGCGCCGTGATGACTTTTATCGACGACAATTTGTATGGGCAAAATCGATAAAATAGCGTGATAACGGCCCATTACGGCGCGCATCTTAGGCCTACAGGAAACGTGCCGCGTGCTGCGGCGAGCGCACCGCCGCCCAGCATGCTCGCCGCCGCACGCCGCGGTGCTGGGGCCCGAGCCCACGCGGCGCAGGGGGCGGCCGCGCGAACCCGGGTATAAATATAGTGTGCGCGTGGAGACCGGCGTGCGCTGGCTGCTGGCGCGGCGCCAGCGCGCTGGGGCGGGCGGCATTCGCGCCGCGTCGCCCGGGCCCGCCGCACACGCCCCGCCGCCGCACGCACCCCGAACCTTAAGGTACTGCCGTGTGGCACCCCGCTTGAACCGTCTCTGAAAATAACCGACCCGTTTCTGTCCTGACTCCGGTTAAATTGAACCGCGTTCCTGGTGCGGCCCCGCGGCCGGAACCCGATACTCGTGAATTATCGTCTGTCGTGACGCCGCGGAGTGCGCCCGCGGCTGTTGACCGACTTATCGATATAAATATTTATTCCTGCGCACGCCGGAGCGGGTGTTCTCGGTTTCGTTGTGCTGATTTTGTTTGAGATCTTTGATTTTGTGAAAATGCTGAAATACCTAAAAGTGGCGAACGATGATAAATTTCCTTCCTGCGATCTCTACGTCGAGTGAACTGAATCACGCCCTCGATCTCTGCGCGCGCGTCGGCAGTTGATCTCATTAGACAAATAGATGACTGAACTCGCGTGCAATTTATAGCCGTGTCATAAAAGTAAAAAGAGTGGCTCTGCGTTTTATTAGTATCGTCAGTGCGACATTTATGAGCTGATACACCGTAAGCTCATCATTGAAAATAAGTAATACCCTCATTGTTGATGTAAATATAGCGTAATTAAATAGCAGTTAAACCCACATGGGTTCCTGTAGTTCTGTAGAATTTTTTCAATTAATTCATACTTTTTAGGGTTTCGTACCCAAAGGTTATAAACGGGACCTTATAACTAAGACTCCGATGTTTTGTTTGTACATATTTTATTTTCCAAAATGGTAATTTAAATGCTAAAACTTGTTTTCTCCTCACTCATAATATGTTGTTCAGATATTTATTTTATGAAATGTGTACCTCGGAAAACTATTCCCCTGATCTACCAAGGGCGATAGAGCATTCGAAGGTATCGAACGAGGTGTTGACGGTCGTGTTGCGGCGCAGGCGCAGACATGGCCGAAGCGGTGGAGGCGCTGCCGCGCGAGGAGGAGGTGTCGCGCGCCGGGCCGTCGTCGGCCGCCGTGGCCGCCGCCGCCGAGCTGCTGGCCGAGCCGCGCGCCAAGCCCCGCGACCCGCCCATCGTCTTCAACGACGTCGACGTAAGTAATAATAATAAGTACTTCGTACAGAAGATTTTCTTCGCGAAGTTATTTAAAAAAATGTATGCTCTATGTCGTTAACAATATGGTGTAATTTACCTTGTCTCAAGAGTTGAGCACCATTTTGTTGACAAACGTCAGTGATCGGTACTGCGCCGAAGACATAGGCTGACTCATTGAGTTATAATGTACTACGTACTAGAGAAGACATGTCAACTAGACTGTTTCTGGCACGCAAATAGGTCCACGGACCGAAATTCAATTAGTATGTGCTCAGCGGTTGCTGTGACAACACGCTTGAGTGCAGTTTTGTTTTTTGAAATATGCCATCCTATAGACGAAAATACTGTTCAAATAACTCCAGATACATATTAAGTAAAAATCAAGGAATGACTTTTTACCATTAAGTTTTACATTTATGCACTTTAAAACACTAATTTAATTTTAATTTGTTAATTACAAGGCGTCACCGCGGCGGCAGCCATTTTACGAAAATTTCAAAGAATAAAAATCGCAGACTTGACACTGACGCATAAATTAGTATACGAAAGGATGATTATAGTAGAAATTGAAGTAGAGATTAAAGATAGTATACGAAATACAGCAATAAAAATATTTTTTTAAAGATAAGCACTTTGTATTGCACAAATTACTAATAGTCGTAACTAACACCAAAAAACGGCAGAGCGAAGTGATTTCGAATGTTTCAACTGCTACGTTTTGTCACTTGTCTAGGAGGGCTAATTTTAGTCTAAGGGAGCTTTGATTACATTACAGGAAACGCACCATATAATAAAAGAAAATAATGTAAGTAGCTGAACCTTTTTGCTATTGAGCACCATGAAAAAGACAATGCCGGAAATTGGCGTCTTTTTTTTTTCGCGCGGCCATCGACCAAACTTTGTTTTTTGATTACAAAATAGTGTAATAAACCAAACTTACTATGACATGTATACCTCTAAACTCAGTCTGAACTGAGTTACGAGCATTAAAAGTTTGATGATTTTCATACTAGATTTGCTTTTTGCGCGCAAGTTTTGTAAGAAATTGCAACAAAATAGTGACATTGTACCTATGTGTAAACAAAAAATACCATCCATTAAAGGCTCCAGACATCAGTGTGGAGCAGAATCAGCGCAATAAAAAAATAGCGCAATATTTTGTTACAATTTCTTACAAAACTTGCGCGCAAAAAGCAAATCTAGTATGAAAATCATCAAACTTCTAATGCTCGTAACTCAGTTCAGACTGAGTTTAGAGGTATACATGTCATAGTAAGTTTGGTTTATTACACTATTTTTTAATCAAAAAACAAGATTTGGTCGATGGCCGCGCGAAAAAAAAAAAGACGCCACCTTCCATACAAAATCTGGCATTGCCATTTAACACAATTTAGCCGATTTGTTCATATTTTCACAATCGATTCACAATGTCTATGATGAGGCGACCGCAGGAACGTCACTATTCGTGCAATCCTATCAATGAAGTACGACATTTTCTGGTGCAGATTTTATCGCCATAAATTATGAAACTTGATAGTCATGGATTTGATTGACAGCTGTCCGTCAAATTCCCGCCCCGCACCCCGCACTGTACATATTTTGTTCGCGATGTCTGTTCTATACGTAGTAATATTACTTCAATGGGCTGACTTCGGTAAAATGATGTGTGACGTGAGGTGTCAAACTGCGGAAAATGGCGGAGGAAATACATGAATAAGCATGAAGTAAATTTTGTGTTTCTAATATTATTCAGGCAGTTAAAAAATACTGCACAGTATTAATTACACCACCGTTTTTATATATTGATTGGTTTTTATATATTGTTTATTGTCTTTACAATGCAAATGGGTGAAGAATACGTGCGTGCGTCAATACTCGCTCGTGATTGTCCTGTCGATTAGGTATCTCAGGAGGGGCAGTCGCGCGTGTTTTGTTTTCGATGCAAACTCGCGGAGATGAACAGGCCTGCTAACACCCTCATTCACTACTCACCTGCCCTGCCTGCTCACTCTTCTACTCTACTCAGGAGATGCGAGGAGTTACAGTTGTAAACGGCTTCTTTTCAGCACCTGTCTGCCCTAAAATCAAACGGACAGTCAATTACAGTTTTCATACAACACTAAAGCTGAGTTGTATCACCTTGTTTAACCGCACCAATAACATTAACCGATACTTTTTGTATGGACTTTGACATATTTTTGACGTTTGTAAAAGTTAAAGTAAGATTTTGCAACTCAGCCTAAGGATTTCAAGACAGTTGTTCCTCGAAATTCTTAAGCACCTTCTGTTGCTCCTTCTTCAAAGTAGATCGCGTCTTTCAGAAAAAACTGCATTAATTAACTCATCAGCAACAAGTTTTTCCGATTGACTAAGTATGTGTAACTGTGATGTTTATCAGTAAATAAGACCGCGTCAAAAAATGTCATGTTATCTACATTTTATCATCATCAATTCATCATATTTGTGACTAGTAAGCTTCAGCCTTATTTCAAGTCTCTAATAAGAACTTTTGTATTTGTACATTAGTATACTCCACGGCATACCAGTAATTTTCCTGCGTGAATGATGTGGAAACGATGTGCCGTTTGTTTGCGAGTGGCGCGTGGGCGGCCGGCGGCCGGTCAGCCGACATCCGACAAACTACTTGTTTACGCATCCCGTAATCACTTAGGTAGTCAAATATTCTTCAAATTCTTTTAAAATCACTTTGTTCCACTAAGGATTAACAAAAACGGTTGAACTATGAATACCAATAATCCCAGATAAAACTGCACACTTCATAACATTATGAAGCAGTAAACTATTATTGAGAATTGAATTTATTCGATTATGAAACAAATGTAGTGACTTTTCTAGAGTATTAGAATATTGCCAGCCAAATATTCGAGCAATAATTTACACGCTGCAGAAATAACAACGTGACTCCCGGTGCAAGAGTGACTCAGACGCGATTATTATATTATGGAAATGCTCCAAATTGTACCACGACATCTGGACTTCGCTCACGGCATCCTTATTTAGACATCCAATGAAGCAAGGAAAATTAATAATCATAAAACCAAAACACAATTTGCATTAAACCATTTAGACTACACGATATCACAAAGAACACTTCCGTCTGTGCTCCTATGTCATGAAAACATGAAACCTACAAATATTTAACGTCAATTAAATGTTTATAAATCACGTGTCCCTATCTCTTATTTGGGAGTAAAATTTTAGTTTTATGTGGTCCTTCTTCATGTTTTAAAATGTTGTAAAAATGCATTCGTAAGTTTATTGTCCCAACGGTTGTTTTTCTATGAACTGCAAAATTCTCACGTTTCTCGACATTTACCCGCTATTCTACTATGTTTTATCATATTTCCTTGATGGGGGGAAATGGATTATGATTACCATGCTTAGAAATCACATTTCGCACAGTGATCCATTGTACCATCCTTCGGAAACAGTCAAGTGTTTACAGCTCGCATCGCGCCGTGAGTCACTGCCACGGCCGGCCGTGGGCGCCGCGTCCGCGCCCGCCCTCACGGTTCCGATGCGCACTGTGCTTGCGCATCCACAACGCCGCACAGTAGTCGGCAAGCGGAAAAAAGTCCAAAATTGGAAGGTTCTAATTCATTAAAATTAGCATAGTAGCCTTATTGTAGAATAGTTATGGGATCATAATCACAAAAAAAATGTCAATTAAACGTCATTTTAAAGGAAAATTATGCGTCATAAGTTGATCAAACACGAAATATTTATTTAAGCGTAGTTTCTACGCTCGGATGTCTACGAATGTATTTCTTAAGACATTGATGATATCAACAATATTTCTTTTTAATTGTCTTTTAGGAAGCATTATGTATTTACATTTAAACTATATTTTGCAAATAACTGCTGTCGTCATGTCCTACTTGACCTATATAAAAGACGCTCTTTTATATTCGAAATTATTGCTTTTCTTGGACCATAACTTTTTTGCCTTGTCGATCCTAGTGGAGATGTATGTATCAAAAGATTCCTTAGTCCTTCTAGTAACTAGCCTATTATAAATTAGCTGCTAATATCTGCTACCCTTGACATACGATTTATTTATCTAATGAGGTTAAGTGATTGGATATGACGAGACGGGGATGAGAGAGTAGGTACTCTCGGTGCAAATGAGGATATTATGAACATTCTTCTGGCTTCGTCTGATCCATTGATCAATAAATTTAGAAGTAAAATCAGCAAAAAATGTTTAGTTCTAAACCATGAAGTTTTAGACCTGATAAAAAAGTGACATTATTTGTTAGTCATTTCTGTTATGTATTAAAATATAGACATTGCACTATATAACTTTCTTTTTATCATTTTAAAGCAATATTATGAAAAGAAACATGACAACACTGAAAAATGTAATTATTTCCGCTCTCCCATACAAAGCCGACCACTGTGCGCCGCCGTCATATGTGGACGGGAAGGACCGGGCTAATTATAACACTCGCATAATAGATTAACGCAAATGCAATCGCATAATATGCGTCTCCAGGACGGGGAGCATTCGTTGCCAAATATAAAAGGAATAAAGGATCTTGCCAAAATCTTTATAGTTGTTGATCAACTCGCAAGCTTCCTTCTGACGTGATCACATCACATTAAGCTCACATCGACCGGTTACAGTCCTTTCGATTAATCTGGATGTCAATACTAGATAATTCAAACGTCTATTTATACCAGGGCTGCAGGGCTATAAAAATGTATAGTCTGGTCCGTGAGCACGTAGAATTTTCTCCAATGACCGCTAGCTACCTATCCTTATCGCTCGTGCGTAATTATGTTGCTATCGCGCTCGCACACTCACTGCGGGTGCCAGTCGCACAGTCGCGACAGCAATATAATTACGCGCGAGCGATAAGGATGGTTAGCTAGGGGTCATTGGACAAAATTCTACGAGCTCACGGACCGGGCTTTAGTTGAAAATATAATAATGAAACAACGGCGCGTCCCCCCAGGGCCCGCGCGAGTACGAGCGGCTGGCGCGCGCGCTGGAGGGCGCGGCGCTGGGCGCGGACGAGCGCGCCAGCCTGGACGAGCTGCAGCAGTACCTCGTGCTGGGCGAGGGCAGCTGGGTGCTCGGCGACGAGTTCCTCGCCTTCGTCGGTCAGTACCTCCCGTCTCCGGATTGCACGCACTCGAGATCGATCGATATTGAAACTCGCGTAACTGACCTGTCGCCGATTGCAGGGCGACTCTTGAACGACGAAACGCTGAGCGAGGAGGTGCGCGTGGCGACGCTGTCGTGCCTGGCGGCGTGCGCGCTGCGGGACGACGTGTCGCTGCTGCTGCACCNCAGAGCAGCTTGCCGTCATACGCGACGGTGTTGGCGAGTTCGGCCAGCGGCGCGTTCATGCGGTACTGCAGCGCCAGCGTGACGTCACCAGGTCGCTATAGACTCTCTCCTATCGCCTGCAGGTGTGACGTCATATACTTGCCTGCAAGTCGACGTCCAGGCGGGCTCGAGCGACCGCGTCGTTGGCACAGAGCAGCTTGCCGCCATAAGCGACGGTGTTAGCAAGCGCGGCCAGCGGCGCGTTCATGCGGTACTGTAATGCCAAAGTCGACGTGGCTGCATCGCTCATGAGACGGTGGAATAAACTCTCTTCCATGCCTAGTCGCCTAAAACAACCAATTTCCACCATAAATAAAAGACAAATTTTTAAATTGCTTTAATGACATGCCTACTCATGTAAATAAATGGTTGATAAATTGAAAAGAATATCAATTTGATTAATCACTCGGTACACCGTTATAAAATCAGTTTTGCAAGAAAAGAAATATTTAAGTAATCTGTTCAACCAGAAAGCTGCTAAAAATACAAACTATGAACCTCCATTTTAGCATTTTGGGAACTGTGATGCTATAAAGTTTGATTGATGAGATTTGATTCATTTGAGTTGACTAATGTATACCAAGGCTGAGTTGAACCACCTAACTTTGACGGTAACTATGACAATAACTGGTGCATATAGATGACCCACGCTGAACTGTCCCACCAAACTCAATGACAGGGGGGCGCTACCATCGTTCAACTATATGGTTTCCAACATGGCAAATATCTGAACCAGCGATCCGGTATTGACGGTGGCGCCCCACTGTCAATGTCATCGACAGGACAGTCCAGTATTTTGGAACTATATGTATGGAGTTTGACAGATTTTTGAAGTTTGTCAAAGCTAAAGTAAGATGGTGCAACCCAGCCTTAGTGAGATATAATACCTGGCAGCTCTGCTCCGTACGACTGGGGGCAGTTGGTCCGGGTCTCCCACCAGAACGAAACGCTTCGCAGCAAACAAGGGCCTCAGAACTGTACTTTGGAGGACCTGAAATTATTACAGGTTACACATATTGGCTCTAATCGGGATGTTAATAAAGTCCAATATCATTTATTCTACAAAACAAGAAGTTTGATTCTCATTATCACCTGAGTCGCTTCATCAACAATGCACATATCGAAGGTCGTTCGCGACAGCATGGCGTGAGATGCCCCTAAGCACGTCACTCCAACTACCTCCTGTAATAAAAATAGATTAGTGGCAGCATCAGAAAAGAAAACCTGCATTTTAAAACCGAATGGAATGGAATGTAAGAGCGAAATAAAATGGAAAATAATCTTCTTACCATAGAGTCGTAGAGTTTCTCAAGGTCTTCGGGCGTCTCACACTTGACGGATAGTTCCTGCTCGCAGCAGTGCGATAAACTCGCCGCCACTCGTGACTTGGGGCCCAGTCTCATTATACGGATGGTTTTCGGCAGCCTGCAAAATTATACAGTTAACAGCACATCAGTAGGCCTAAGATGCGCGCCGCGATAACCGTTTATCACACCATTTTATCGATTTTCCCCATACATTTTGACGTCGATAAAAGTTATCACGGCGCGCATCTTAGGCCTACAGAATACATTTTTAGTGCAAAATAGCATCTATTACAACTACATAAGGCGCTGCAATATATTCCACATCTTTCATTAGGGCAAAAAGATAAGATATGTGAAGGCTCCATAAAAGAGCAATACTTTAAAGTTTTTATTATAAGTCTTTTTTTTATTTAATACTTCAGGAATTGTAAGCACTATTTTTAANGCTGCAGCAGGACCGGCGCCACCACGCGCTGCTGTCCTACGCGCACTCCATCGACGCGCGCCCGCTGCCCGAGCAGCGCGCGCTCGCACGCCTGGTGAGTGCCGCTGCTGCAGCAGGACCGGCGCCACCACGCGCTGCTGTCCTACGCGCACTCCATCGACGCGCGCCCGCTGCCCGAGCAGCGCGCGCTCGCACGCCTGGTGAGTGCCGCTGCTGCAGCAGGACCGGCGCCACCACGCGCTGCTGTCCTACGCGCACTCCATCGACCGCACGCCTGGTGAGTGCCGCTGCTGCAGCAGGACCGGCGCCACCACGCGCTGCTGTCCTACGCGCACTCCATCGACGCGCGCCCGCTGCCCGAGCAGCGCGCGCTCGCACGCCTGGTGAGTGCCGCTGCTGCAGCAGGACCGGCGCCACCACGCGCTGCTGTCCTACGCGCACTCCATCGACCGCACGCCTGGTGAGTGTCGCTGCTGCAGCAGGACCGGCGCCACCACGCGCTGCTGTCCTACGCGCACACAAAATCCTTAGGTAGGATACATCCTATTTTCAAGTAGGTATATTTATTCGGGTCGACTTGTGTAGTTCTCGCTTCGGTTCTTTACGTTCTTTTCTGGTTGAAAATTTCATTACAAAAACAAAATTGCCAGTCTCGTGGGGCCCAAAACAATTTTCGGCCTAGTGGGAGATGAAAGCGCTCGAATACCAGGCCTTCACAAACCTTAATTTTTAGAGGTACTATCGGGGACTCGAACGCCTTGACACCTTAAGGGCCTAAATTGTTTGCACACACACGCTCGATTAAGCTCCGCCCCCGTTCATTCATGTTTCGGGTCTAAGCAGCGTCGGCGCATCACTGTAGATGTTTGCCCTAGCAAACCAAGCTCTATGTAAAGCACTTAGGATTGAGTATTGCTTATTACCCGCATCCGTAGCGCTCGTTTGGCAACGTCGCATTTTAGTCAATTTGAAACCCAATTAAGAATCGCTACAAAATATTATATGAGGCTTCGTGTAAAATTTGAACTAGCGATTGCCCGCTCGGGTCACAAAATTGCTATCGCACATTCCGAGGTAACTATGCAATTTCCCGAGAAAAAAGTAGCCCTTTCTACAATTATTGTTGATATTATGAGTGTAAATCTCATGATATTAGTTTAGCTAGTTAGGGCGAGAAATACAAAATCATACAGTTACTTTCGAATTTTACTTATTTAATAGGTATTTAATTTATTCGGAACTTATAATTTAAAACAATATGTTATTGAATTAATTAGTAAAGAGTTAAGGAATATTTGTGGCTTAAAAACAATTATTGTAAGATCTGGCTATAACTTTCTTAAATCCTTGAATGTAAATAAAAACTTATAATAGGTTTCTATTTATTTTTAATGCATATTTTGTTTTCCGTTTTAAAGAAACACTTATCTACGTTATTAAAATTTAATATAAATATTGCACTAGGTAGCAATGATCCAGGTAATTGGTTATCGTAAATATTATAATATTAAGTTAGTTTTATTTCAAATTCAATTTTTTATTGCACATTAAGTGTCTTTACACAAGGTCTTAAATCAATAACAATTAAACTTCAAACTAAATAATACTTAAACAGTTAACAATGTATAGATAAGTTTGTAAGTAAATATAAGAATTATTTTGAGAGGCATGGTTCAGTAATCGAGCGGAGGTCAATAAAAAGGCAATCAAACAGTCCAATTACTAGCACGGGTCAACACAAATCAATCGGTTATTGATCACGAAACTTCACAAAAAAACAAAGGAGAGAATATGTCGACAGATCGCCAAAGCAAAAAGCAGACAGACCTCGTATAAAAACACAATATTAAAAAAAATACATATCTATTTGTTTGTAACCAAATTCTATTATTAAAATTCTAAGGCTGAGTTGCACCATCTTACTTTAACTTTAACAAACGTCAAAATTCTGTCAAACTCCATACAAAAAGCACCGGTTACCGTTATAGCTACGGTCAAAGTTAGGTGGTGCAACTCAGCCTAAAACTAAGAAAGATTGAAGAAAAAGAAACATTTCGTTTTAAACCCTAACCGTATGACAATAAAGTGCACAATGGTATTTCGTATTGCAACCTAAGCCCTGATTGTCTCTTATTGGTCGTAGTATAAATATAGTAAAATGCGTAGCCAATTAGAGACGGGGTGAGCACGTGACCGGAGCGATGCGCTTACGCTAAAATTTCTACAAAGTGGTCAGGCGGAAGAGTCCCCGATAGTACATTCCTGCGTTAAGGTCGAGTTTAATAACATAAAAAAAATTGTTACAGATGTGCAACTTGTTTGAGAACATCTCGTCGTCCGAGTGGCTGCTCTACATCAGCGAATGGGATTCCAACGGAGTACCGCTCTCGAACATTCGCGCCACCACCAAGGTACGCTTAACATTATAAAATAAGATTATAACCCAGAACTATACCTACCTTATAACTAAGTGGCAGAAGACTTGAATATAGTAACGTAAATGAATTTAAGGGCGCAGGTACACTATGCGCGAAATTGATTGAGTTAGATAGTGTAAACACGCATTCAGTAACTTTTACCGTGTGTCGCCCATACTTCGCTGTGCGTGTTTGTGCTTCTGTTGATCAGTTTCCCGAATATTGCACCTGCGAGCTGCGCCATGAAGATAGTAAGCTTGTAATTTCGTTAAATTCCGTGGTTCATTTATGTGATTTGTGAACAGTTGAACACCTGTCCCATTTAGGGGACATAGGACATTAACACCCGTATTCACAAACGATGCTTGCTTACGTAAAACAGCAAATCGAACGCACAGCGTTGAATAGAGCTCTGTGATTGATTCGTGTGTGACCTTGTGCGTCCACGCGCATTGCCATTCGTATCTCGGCAGCTCGGCTACTTGTCAATATTCCCTCTGTTGGCTTAGTGTGTTTACATCAAACGTCCTCACCAGTGAGCGCGCAAAAAATGACATTAAATTGGATTTTACAGCGCCCCTAGCGAAAACTTTCAAGATCTAAAATTTTTAATTTTTTTTAACGCGCTCGCTAGTGAAACGTTTGACGTAAACTCACACATCGTCAACGCGCTGACTGTGTTGTCGTGCGCAGGTGTGCGTGCACAGCTGCCTGAGCGAGGACGCCGAGCTACGCGACGTGGGCACGGCGCTCATGTACAACGTGGCCACCAAGGAGGTAAAGACCGTGGTCAGTATCGCTCTCCTCACTCACTCTACTCCTGCTTAAGCAGATTCACACATCAGTGAAGGCACAGTTCAGGCTCAGTGCCGGCACAGTGCGAAATATTTTTTCATACAGCTACTATGAACGCATCCCCGTTGACGACGATATTTTTTTTTCGGATCACGGATGCCGCCGCGGCATCAAAAACAAAATAACTCACTTCACAGTTTCTGAACAAGAATATTGAAACAGCTCTCTGAAATTTTTAAATATTCAAAATATTTCACTGACGCAACACTGTAGCACTGATACTGAACTGAGCCGACACTGTGACGGAACTGTGGCTTCACTGATATGTGTGAATCGAGCTTTAGTCTGCTTGCCGCTCGCCGGCTGATACGCATGTTCACCCCACCGATCGAATTCATCTCAAAACGACGTTTCTCTTTCTCTATTGCTTGTGAAATACTTGTGACTTCACCATTTTTGAAGGCAATTGTTAATGTCTAAGCGACAGTATTTCGATGATGTCGGTGTCGGTTTGGTGAACCCACTCATAATAAATGCATATTTAGCTTACCAAGAGATGTTAATGGGACTATACTTTGGTATTAACGATTCGTGGTGTCAACATGCGTGTCATCTCAATATGTATTATGTATGTACACGACACTGTCGACAGTTAAATCGCAGTGTTACTCCTGTCGTTCACTACTCTGTCCGGTCCCAGAGCCGCCGATGCAGCTGAAAGCTTGTCTCTGTTGCACATCCTGCACTTTTTCTTTAGGACACATCCTAAAATATGCTCGTCTACGTAATCTTTGGTCGCCCTGAGGCAGACCATTTATGTGTAATCTGCTAAGTCCGGTTAATACTCATATGAAACACACAAAAAATGGACCTAACTATACAATATTCATACTATTAAATACATATAGTAATTCGATGTATTAAATAATTTATTGGTAATGCTAGCTTTTTCCAGCGGCTTTCACGACTTCGGTCTGTCACGTAATGTCTCCTATTATATTCTAGCCTACGTTCAGATGATGTAGAATTCTAATTATTAAAGAATTTTTCAAATCGGTCCAGTAGTTTCGAAGCTTATTGAACAAACAAACAAACTATCAAATCTTTCCTCTTTATAATATTAGTGTAGAAGTGTAGATAATACTTTTATTATGATGTTTGCTGTACATTAATAACCGCGTAATAATATAATAATCCATATAGTGTTATTAGGATTTTGAAACCTTAGATAACGACGTGACATGTTTAGTTTTTAATTTGTTGATTTATTATTGTTTTCGAGGGTTGGAGACAATGTTGCTTACATAGTTTCGTAGTAAGTATTACAAGCTTGTCGTATTATTACAGTGGCTGAATGACGGGTGTGTACATAGGCGCGAGAGTGCGCGCGTTGGTAATTCCTAAGTACACTTATCTACTTCTATAGCAAACTCGTGCCTCGATTCAAGGGCAACTCATAGAATTTGGAATACATAATGGCGTTGACTAGGCTCTTACCGCGACCTGTCCCTATGTTTTTAGTTTATTAAAAATCTCTCGCAGCAGCAAATATAACATTCATAATTATAATAATAATCAAAACATAGGTTTGATATATATATACTATATAGTATATATATAGTATATATACTATTAGCGACAATATATTTAAAAAAATAAAATACATTTTCAATTTTCTTTTCAGTTCTTTTTCCTCAATAGGTGTTCATTACGTTGTGCATGACAAAAATAAGAATGAAACAAGTCTCAATTTGAAACACGTTTGTTAGTCTAAGCCCTGACCTGACTCATGCAGCATCATAAATGTACTTTCATATCTTTCTAGAAAACAGATGTCACAATCACAATAATAGAGCAATAAACCTGGCATGTTTGCACATGTCCCAATGTAAGCGGCGAGCACATTCGGCTATTTGCGCGGCTCGCTGTTGATCGATGCTTGCGCGCGCGATAAGGTGCTGGAAAGTTATCTACACTAAACCGACAGTTTTCCCGAGCTAAGGCCCCGGCCACTATGGAAGCGACGCGATGGCGTTATGCATATAGTGGCACTTACTGTGGCGATAAGAAAGATACCATAATATTACTGCAGGAACTGTCATATTATGAACCACATCACTCCTCACCAATGTTGTTAAGTTTTTCTATAGATACATCTGTTAAGTATGCCTTTGCAACGCAAACTCCATTCAGTATAGTGAATGGTTTACTACGGAAAACCGCTCACCTATAACTTTCTCATTCGTAAACTAATCAGTGGGAACCGCTTGGAACTAAGCATTCAACTGCATGAATGATTGAACTGCTTGAGATGCTCGTTCACGCTGTCGCCGTCGAAAAAATGAGATTGAACAGCAATTATGTAAACTAAATGGATCTTCATCATCACCAATTTCGCCTTTGCCCTCTATACTTTTACGTTCATTTTGTTTTTCACAATCCTTAGTCACCATTTTTAACTGGTACAAAAAAAAGACCATACCTTCTAGTAGAGCCTCATTTTGGTTTCTTCGCATGCTTCTTCTTAAAACACACAATGAATTTCGTTACGTCTTCAACCGGCATTTAGACAATTAGTTACGGAAGACCAGTGTGACAATATGAGTATATTCAATATTTCAGAGTTTGCTTATAGCATAGAAAATTCAATGTTTCGTGTGTAATCAATTCGTCCAAATTAATTACGCTATCTGAACCAGCAAATTCAATAATGTTCTTAATTATTATTCTCTTAAAAGGCGTAGAAAAATCTGAAATGTCTTCTACTTATAGATAAATATAATCGCCGAACTAATTATAATATCTTTCCTTTGTGAAGAAATGATATATGTATTGAGAATAATTCCATTATCCAGATTATATTATTTATTTTAAGTATTAAAATTTTAGCTGTCGTTGTCAATAAACCTTGTAGCGCAACGTTTCGTCACAATTACCCAGAGTCATTAAATATGTATGGGATTAAAATCAATGAGCTGTAAAAACATACCACAAGACACATAACATTCATATTGTAGGGACACATTGTACGTACAGTCAGCGTCAAATATATTACCTAGTTATGACTAAAACCATTTTTCATATTATTTATTAACAACAATATGTGTAAATTCTTTCATTGTATTAACTTTCCACCTCTCCGTATCACTAATCGCATGTATGTACGTAAATTATTATTTAGTAAAAATTTATAACATTTTTAATATATTTTTTTTGTATTACACAACATCAAACCTACATTGTTATATTTATTATGTTTTTAAATCTATTATAATTATATTTGTCTTAATAATATACATATTATTGTTATTTATGTTCATATTTTCCCTAATTGACCTTTGGCTTAATTTTTTAATTGTGTTTAATACTGTATCTCATGTTGATAGCCCAATAAAATAAATAAATAAATACTATAAGTAATCAGCTCTCTTATTTATAATGTTTTTATTGTTCCTGCATTAAAAGCTGAATGGTTTCTTTATTAATAGTGCCTTAGAATAGAACCCTGTCTATAGGATGCAGAAGTACCTCACATTACTTATCTTTTGCTGTGTTAAAACACATTTTAAATGAGCGTAAAGAAATAAATAACTGTCTTATTAAATTGGTGTTGTGCAATACTGTTCGATGCGTATGTATGCGTGAAATAAGACGTGTGAGAGTGAGATGAGCGTGCGAGTGTAAGTGTGTGTGTGTGTGTGTGTGTGGTGCATCCGGGCGCTTGTTGCAGCGGTTCGCGGCCGGGCGCGCGCTGCGGGACCTGCTGCCCAAGGGAGCCAAGTCCAAGGTACGGCGCCGTCACACGTCACGCATCTGTCACTGTCATAAACCTCCTTATTAAGGCAAATTACCAAAACGGTATGATCCTGTTAGTACAGACCAAAATATGGCACATGGCCTTTTTACAAAATTACAAAACATGAGTACAAGGAAAGGGTTGGAATGACAAAGTGCTATTCTATTACTTAATATTGAAACAGATATAAAAATTGAATCTTCTATGCTAAATATTTACTTCAGTAATAAATATTTTTATTTATGAGTACATTTTTGACAAAGATCATAGCGACGATTTAAAGATAAACAAAATTAGTTGATTATTATTTATTTTATTGTATGCAATGTCATACTCATATCACAGACATCTTATTGGTTTGGTGGATCATAGATTGTTCTTCCCTCTTCAGGTAGGATAGGGATCTAGAGCCAACGCAATATTATTCACGCCAGGGTCCTGTCACTGTCATCTTAACATTCACAAAAATGACAGTGCTTGATGCTGAATCACGTGCACGGCACACAGCCCGTGGTCGCAGGAAGCAGCCGTCGCTGTGTTTGTTGCGCACACAACTAAGACGGAAAAATCACCAGAAAATACCGACTAAGCAAACTCTGTGACACTCTGTTAAGAAAGTACACAATCATATTTCACTGTTTACCAATTTAAATCGTATTTACGCGGCTGCTAGTGCTATTTGCTCTCATCACATAAACAATTCGTAATAATTTGTTTTATCTGACATTGTTTTTCATTGGATTACCTTATTATAATGAAAGGCTTAAAAGTACAGTGGAGGTTTCACGTAGAAATAATATTTAAATGGATACTACACTACCCTAGTACATTCTGGAAAATGTTTTTGTATAAAGAGCTATATTTTACATTCTAACCCTCCTGAAAGATAATTTATTAACATGCATAAGGAATGTTAGTTAATTAATTTAATGATTTGATAAAATAGAGTAATAAACAATACAGTGGAAACGTAGAGTTCTATAATTACATGAAGATGACAATAACACAGCGCACTTTATCTGCGCCTGCGCTCGTAAACGTCTTAACCGCGCCCTTCGCGGGCGATACTTATATTTGCCCAAGTATTATCACGTTGATACACCATTACGATATTTTAGTACATTTCACCCACTTGCCTAGTTCTCACGGTTTATGAGTATCGTTCGTTAGAAAGTACACCAAAAACGAAGACGGTAATAATGACAGCAATTTAAATGCACAAAATCTGGGATAGCGATCATTCTTAACTGTATTTTCTAATATTTTATGTGGATTACTAATGTTTGGCCAAAAAACGTTTCCCAAATTATCACATCGCAAACAACGTTTCGCAAATTTTCATTTGGCAAATTCTCATTTGGCAAAACAACTTATTGCAAACTTTTAATTCGCAAATGTCGTTTTTGGCATATTATTGTTTAGTAAATTATTGTTTGGCAAAGTATGTTTTGCCAAATGATACATTTGGCAAAAATATTTCACGATGAACTATTTACAAAATAATTTGATTGTCGCATAGAATGGACTACAAATTAGCTTGTGGTTATTATTTTGTTTAGTGGGTATATNTGCTACTTGGGGTAGTTGCCGTAGATCTTCACAAGAATACCACACAGACCACCGTAAATCAATCGGCAAGTACATAGATTACCGAGGTAAACGTTACCGACACTGATGTGCGACACTATCTTTACTGAGAAGATAGACTTGCATGATTTATGTCGGGCGTCTCCGAAAGTGTACATAAGGTGATCCTTTGTGACGCGCGCTGTGCAGTTTTATAGCACGTGCTAAACTTTGTGAAAACATCATCTAAGCATATTTGCGTAACGACTACCGCTTACACTCTTGCCAGGTGGCAAACCTTACAATCCGTCGCCATTCCTCTCGCACTGCAGCTTTTCATGTGCACTCGTGGAGTGGACCATTGAGTCCGGTTTTGATTGACCTGGTCAGTCCAGCGCACGGGCGACCTGCCGCGCGCTCCTGTGCCCTCAACCTTCCCCTGCACGACAAGGAGTGAGAGAAGATGGTAATAAATAAATATCTTTGGACAATCTCACACAGCGCCATCTAGCCCCAAAGTAAGCATTTAATATGCTTGTTATGGGTGCTAGCTTAACGGATATACTACTTATATACTTTTTTTTTTAAATACATACATATTATACATAGTAACACCCAGACCCGTCACAGAAATTAAAATTCATCATTTCAATTTCTGCCCGGCCGGGAATCGAACCTCTCGGCATAGTAGTCTGTTCTGAACCACTACACCAAACGGCCGACTGAATTTAACTGGTATTGATCGTGTTGCTTGCAGAAAGTGAAAGACATCAAGGTGAAAGACCCTCGCGTGGCGCGCGCGCTGTGGCTGCTGTCGATCTCGCGCAACGCGCTGGTGGTGCTGGCGGCGTCCGTGTTCGCCTACTGCACCTACGACCCCGACAACCTGCTCGTCAAGCTCTCAGGTTCGTTCGTTCGTTCGTTTCAGCCGAATGACGTCCACTGCTGGACAAGGCCTCGCCCAAAGATTTCCATAACGACCGGTCCTGCGCTGCCCGCATCCAGGCTCTTCCCGCACCTTCACCTGTAGGCCTAAGATGCGCGCCGTGATAACTTTTATCGACGTCAATTTGTATGGGCAAAATCGATAAAATAGCGTGATAACGGCCTATCACGGCGCTCATCTTAGACCTACAGATCGTCTTCTTTCTTCTTTTCGTGTCGACAGCAAACCTACACAGTGTCAGCCCAAAACTCCGCCACAAGAGTGGCGTTGTCAGTAGCACTCATCAAATCCTCACCAGATCGTCGGTCCACCTACTAGTGGGAGGCCTGCCCACGCTACGTCTAGAAAGAACTTTTCTGCCCCAACGGCCATCGTCTCTACGAGCTATGAGCCCCGCCCACTGCCACCTACTTGATTTTAGCAATTCTGCAAGCTCTAAGGTACTACGCATGAGAAATTATGTCCATAAAGGACGTAGCACACTTGAAAGGGATCGTAACCGTATCAATTCTAGGCGGTCAGTATGATTTAATTTAATCCATACTGCAACGCACACTTCTCCGCACCGCAACGTAAACGCCTCGCCTCGAAGTTGACAGCGCGCGACAGGCGATGACAACTCGCGAAAGACGATANCAAGTAAAATTTTGCCAAATGATAATTTGACCAAATGAATTAGTTGCGAAAAGTACAGTTGCTAAAAGTTCATTTGGGAAATGAAACTTTGGCGATAAGTTGTTTGCGAAGTGAAATTTGGCGAAAAGTAATTTGGCCAAACGGAAGGATACCATTTTATGTATCTATGGGCGTCATTAACGATAAAAAATAAGCCCATTTATTAGGAACACCTACAAACACAGAAAATTAGCAAATTATTATATCTTTCTCTGCGATAAATCGCAGTGCTTTATTTGCTTCTTGTTGTGACCGTGTCACACAGTTATTTGTCGTCTGTCGTCGCTGTTTTTTGGCAGAATCTTGCCCTCGTATTTGATTGAGAATAGTTCAACATTGCAAGCAAATACATATTATGTTAGGTTGTACGTCGTTTACAGCAACCCCAATCTTTTAACTGCGATTGACATGTTTGCTTCGGGACTCGGACATTATTATGCTTTTGAACCACTGAAGAAGTGGGGATCCACCGTCCGCGCACCTCGTATTTGATTGAGAATGGTTCAACATTGCGAGCAAATAAGTTAGGTCGTACGTCGTTTACAGCAACCCCAATCTTTTAACTGCGATTGACATGTTTGCTTCGGGACTCGGACATTATTATGCTTTTGAACCACTGAAGAAGTGGAGATCCATCGTCCGCGAACCGTCGCACCCGAGCATCGGGTGTCGGTCGAGCGAGAGACGTCAGTGAGGGAGCGAATGACAGCGTGTCGGGTCCGCAGGTGTTCGACGAGGTGTGCGTGGAGCTGGCGATGGCGCTGCTGCAGCTGCTGCAGTGCGCGCCGGCCGAGGAGCACCTGTACCGCGCGTGCGCCGCGCTGGCGCGCCTGGCCGCGCACTCCTCCGAGGTGCCGCAGCTCGTCGCCATCGTCGGGCCCGACCCCGCCGCCTACAGGTCAGCGCCGCGAACCCATTCCACGAGGAGCTCTCATAACACCGATAATGCTTCAATTTCAATTCCTGTAATTTTAGCGACATCCGCATTGTCTGTGAATATAATTCTTTTATTTGTTTCTTATTCAAAAATGGTCGCCCATGACATTAATATACTCGTAGTACAATGTTTATCGACAAAGCACCAAAGCCGAGTGTTTGTTCCAGAGGAACGAGCCCGCGCATCGACGAGCAGATAGACCTGATCATGAAGCGCGTCAAGTAGAGCGCGGAATTTCGCCGCCATCGCTCGCCGCACGCTAGGCCGCTAGCTTCCACCGCGTTGCAGCGCCACCTTTGTAGCTTCTCCAAGGACTACACACATCCATTTGACCTCCATAGATAACTCAAATTCGAAAGCAAAGAGAAGCACAAGCAGAAGATGTTTAAATCCGTTTGCATTTGTGGCTAAGAAGCCAAGCAGCGCCCGGCGCCGGCGGGCGGCGTGCGGCGCTCGCTCGGAGACTAATAGATTGATAAGTACCTAACATTAAGTTTTACGACTTGATACGCTGCAATCCAGTTAATTGATACACTTAATGAAATAATGATTAATGTGAACATAAATTATTGAGTCTTTACTAGGTATGACTAGAAAGTTTTGAGCGAAGTACGAGTATTACCTAGATGTTTGACTTATTTTACAAACTGACACAATCTTAATTTCAAAGATATTTTGACATAGACAAATTAACTTTGTTTTTCTTTTATTATATTGAAGTAGGTACATTTTAGTACGAAAAACATCAAATCATGAAGTTGAAATTATACAAATTTGAACATTTATAAATGCTAATAGCACATTTGTACCCAATAGATTAAGAGGCGCTTTCCGCAAAGCATAAATTAATTGCTTAAGTATGAACGGTAGCGTATTTTCGTCTTTACCGAGTTTTTTGCAAGTCCTTCGATACCTAATTAATCTTTGTCAGTGATTAGGTTTGACTTCAAGGATAATTAATTACGTCAGTCGACTGAATTTTAAATATTTCTAGGTAATGAAATTTTAGTGAAACTTCCTATAGATCTTTTCAATAAAGATGGTTACCTAATGACTGTATAACTGTATTGCAGTGTGGCCAAAGATTAATATTATCAAATATGTATTACATTAAAATGACAGCTTGGAAATCAGACTCGCACGCGTCCGCTGCAGTAGCGCGGCGTACTCGTGATGTGTCCGTGTTTTTTTATCATAAAGAAAACATGAATGTCATTTTGATTTGTACCGCTTCTTATTCGGAGGCTCACGCGGCAGGCGGGACTCGGCGCGGGCTGTGACGCGTACGTGCACATGCACAGTGCTCACTTGACTCAGTAAACAATCACATTTAGCTACTGCAGTGGGCGCCAAATTCGACGTCGTTTGGGGAAAACGAACTTAAATAATTATTGTGAATTGAGAAAAAACACCGTTATTCACTTATGTTATGGATATGAAATGATTAGTTTCGTTTAAAAAACATCTAATCAAGTCCAAGAAGAAGGAAAATAATGAAGCAAATATTAGCGTTTACCCGTAAACGTCCCCGTAAATTCACCATTACAATGATACTTCTATTTTGCAGTACAATAATTGAAGAGCAATAAAGTAAATTATAAGGAAGCAGCCTGTGTATACTAGTTAGGGTGCTGCCCGGGCGGAGGCGCGGTGCCGGGACTTGTACATAGTGTTAGTCTGTAGTCATGCGCTGGCTGGATACACAATACACATGACAAGTAGAATAGCTCTCTTTGAGAATTAGGAAAATTGAGTATCCGCACTGTAGATCCAAGATCAGACCTGCGCCCACGCCGCGCAGCCGGACTTAGCGTAAGTACCTGAGGGGCCTTGTATTATAGTATAATATACCTAGAGTTGTACCATAGCGTTGTTGTATTATTTATATATGATTTATTAGTTATGTTTATAGTAATGTACAATGATGTTATGTATTTATATTATTTATCAGTTGCTAGCACTAACACCAGGTGACTGTGGTGCATTTACATGTAATTTAGACATAAAAGTGGACGAATGTATTGCAATAAAATTGTTGTATACTGATCTATCTGTTTTATTTTAAGGAGTAACTCAAAATCTGAGGCCCTATTATTATGTATATTTATTTCAAGCATTTACCGTAACATAATTGCATGATCGTAGAATTGTATACCATATAGATTTGTAGTATGATAGTTTAATGATTAACGAGTAATGAATAAAATTAAAAGTAGCATGTTTCATGTAAGATAATATTTTTCATTAACAAATACCTAATGCAATAGTAAAACATTACTTCAAAATGTCATTATTCAGGACATTACCTACATCTATCATTACCTACGTCATAACTGAAAACCAGCTTCGTGACTTGACGACTTGTGTCATGTCACGATTTTCGCTGAGCGGGCGCCTTTTCAGCATGGCTCAGTAATTTAACCTCTGTACATGTATGCATATAAATGTTAATACTGAATAAAGGTATTATATTCTATAACTTTTATAATTTAATATCAAATCTATCTACAAAACTCATGCTTCGTTAAAATATTTTTTCATCATCGTCAAAAAATACCGTTTAAAGTTTAGCGTAAGTCGAGCCAGTATACAGTCTCGGTAATAACGGTGGCGGGCTGATCTCTAAGGGCCTTATTACAAAAAGTTACACTCTGGTTGAACTCTGGCTTAAATTGACACTAAGTATGGTAATGTAATTTTAAACCAGTGATCGCTATTCGCTATGCCACTAGGTATCCAAATTTAACTAAAAATGTGGCTCAGCAACCGTCAAGGTGCTCTATTTCATTCGGTGAACTTCAAACCTTGGGTGTCCAGACATCGACAGCGTTGTGTCCAAAGGATCGTCTGCGCGACGACGGCCGTTATCAATGAACCTGCGACGAGGAGTGTTATTGTTTGATGCGAGTGTTTGCTCGCACGAGGAGATGAATGACGCGGAGATAATGCGTGAATTATAACCGGAGGCGGCGCCGCACTCGCCAGTCCACGGACGCCGCTCGCGAGGACGACACCCTCGGAGGAAACGATCGAAAACTGACAATGGACTCGGAGACGATTCCGGAGGGAAAGAGAGGGAAGGGACAGAGCCGCTGGCTGAAGCTGGCGCGGCGGCGGCTGCCCATCCTGGCGTGGGCGCCGCGCTACTCGCGCCTGGCCGCGGCCGGCGACGCGGTGGCGGGCGTCACGCTGGGGCTCACGCTGGTGCCGCAGAGCATCGCCTACGCCGCGCTGGCCGACCTGCCCGTGCAGTACGGCCTCTACACCTCCTTCGTCGGTGAGTGATACTAAGATAACTAAAAATAAACCTATAAAATACTAGCTGACCTGACCGACTTCGTGTTATTAATTATGTAGGATTCTAATGGTGAAAGTCCAGTCCAGTAGCGTCAAGCCTATTTAATACAAACAAATAGTGAAATCTTTCCTGTTTATACCTAATATTCGTGTAAAAAATCAGTAAATCTAATTTTGACGGGTCTAGATTTTTAATGAATTTTAGTAAGTTGAAAGCATATCTCTTGCTTCATATAATATAAAAAATCTTCGGTATCTCGCACATTTGCCGTGTTGGAAAATGGATATCATGAATTGTTATATTTTAACTGTGAAAATCTGTATTTAGACTTGATTTGAGTAGCAAAGGCGCATAAATTAAATATCATATGTGTGTTATGATTTCGCACGTAATAAATTCATTATCATGTAAATTATGAGGACAAAAAATGTGTTAGCTACGGTGAGACAGAACGCTACTCAGTTTCAAATGAAATTTTAGCAATTTGCACATTATAGATCGTTTTATCCACGAAGACGCGCCCCACCACTTTTCCGCTAATGTTTGAGTGTTATCGGTACACGCTAAATCATCCATGAGTGCACACGCACACTACAATAATGATCAAACTCCCCACACCCCACGCTTTTTTCAACCAAAAATTGGTGAGGCGCGTGTTCGTGGATGAAACGATCCCAATGACGTATAACATGGACGGTTGTCGGGCAGGCACGATCCTGTACATGTTCCTGGGCACGGTGAAGGAGGTGTCGATCGGGCCCACGAGCCTCATGGCGCTGCTGACGCTGCAGGCCACGCGCGGGCTGCCCGTGGAGTTCGTGGTGCTGCTCGCCTTCCTGTCCGGCTGCGTCGTGCTGCTCATGGGCCTGCTGCGCCTCGGTCAGTACTCAGCACCTCCGACAGGACCCACCCGCGATCGAACCGTCGCTGACCAGGCCCCTCTTTCCCACTGGGCACTTTGGGCACGTGCCCAGGGCCCCGCGACCGAGGGGGCCCCTGTCTACTCAAAAGACCTTTCTCCAGATGATATGGGCCCCCCTTGATCCTTAAGTGCCCAGGGCCCCTAGTAGGTTAAAGACGGCCCTGTCGCTGACGCTCTTTGCAAATGAGGCCCTCTTGGCCAGGATTGGCTAAACTGGCGAGCAAGGACTTGGGTGCCGTGAGTGAAAGGATCAAAGGACGTAGAAGAAATTTGGGAGTCCCAGTGACGCCGTGTCTGGTGACGCGGTCGTGGCGCCTTAGAGTATTACTTAAATTAAGCTATAACGACTTCTGATTAGTATTTAATCGGAAATTCCGATTAAATCGTTCAAATCTTCTTGAGCTAATCACTGTTACAATTTTAAGTAGTTCATTAGTTAAAGAGTTAACTTCTTGTGGTTTTAGGATATTCCAGGTGATATCTTCACCACTTCTTATGTTATGATTATGTTTCTTTCTAGACACTGCATTACACCCTTGAATGCGCTAATAGGAACGAGCTAAAATGATAATCCGCCGATGCAGGCGGGTGACACTGACGGCTGCGGCTGTGTTCGCAGGCTTCATGGTGGAGCTGATCTCTGTGTCGGTGACGAGCGGGTTCACGTCGGCGACGGCGGTGATCATCGTGGCGGCGCAGCTGAAGGGCGCGCTGGGGCTGAGCTTCACGGCCGAGTCCGTGTTCGACAACCTGCAGCAGATCGCGCTGCGCTGGCGCCAATGCGCGCCGCCGACTGCGCGCTCGCCGCCGTCTGCTGCGCGGCGCTGCTGCTGCTGCGGGTGAGTGCTGGCTAACTAAATTCACTATACCGAAGGGCGAGTTCAAGTTTCAAGCAAACTTGGCGGCGCACTGTAGCAGACGAGGCGGAGTAAATCGGCAAGACCTGGAGAGAGATGAAACGCGAAGCTCAAGGCCGAACGCGATGGAGGATTGTTGTGGACGACCTCTGCCCCATCTAGCGGACCTATGACTTTAAGCTAAGTCCGAAGGGCGAGTTCACAAGCCTTAAATTGTGTACAAGATTAGTAGTAGGTAATTCTACGTCATTATGTATTCAAACTACTGTTACAATAAGGTTATACTGAAGTGACCTTCCCGTAAGACCAACGGTCAAAGACCTTAGCCTTCAGATGATAATGTCCCNAGGTCATTAAGTACTCATTATGATTAGTAGATTCAAAATTATTTTAGCATATTTTTTAAAATTAAATCTACTAACACAAAACAACACGCATTTTTATGCTATTCCATTCACAAAGTATTTTGTTTGTCTAAATAAAAAAAAATACAATCACAAAACTAGATAGAAATTCTAAGTAGATAGATGTAATTAGAATGGGTACTGTAGGTGGGCAGCCCTATCGCATGTTGTCATACCGTGACGTACCGTGGCGGGGCTGTTGACATTTATTTCAAAAATATGGCCGAGTTGGAATACTGTATAGATAGTATTACCGTGATACGGTTGATCCCTTTCCGAGTTAATAAGTCTGCTATGACTAGCGGCAATAGCCCAATGTCGTGTCGGGTCGGATCCGAGGAACCCGGGTTCGATCCCCGCCGCGCCGCTGGACTATTAGCTACCAGTTTCTGCAGTCGCTTACCTGTATGGTTTAATGGTTCTGTTTGGAAATAACATGTCGCATAACACTGGTCAACAAAAAAAATAAAATTGCTTGTTTCCTGTGATTTTTTTTCTGTTTCTATCTCAAATTGACGCATATTTTTTAAATATGGCAACAGTTTTTCTCCAACAGCTTTTGTTTTTAAGTTATAGCTATCTACCCTCATTTAATATTTTTACTTAGATTTTTGATTTAATTGGACAAAAAAAAAATATTTTGTTGGTGTTTTCGATATTGCTTCGTTATGAAAATGTTATGTGCTTAATCCAGATGGTTTCTGCTATGTTTGTGGTAAATATAATATTTGAAAAACATCGAAAACCTCTATCGGACTTGATGAAAACTGCGTAACATCGACACTTTAATATAAATATTTAAAATTAAGTAATCAAGACCACAAATGAGTCATTTGTGTTCTGAGAATAGGTAACATCTTTTAGGCCAACAAGGGGGCTACACAAAATTCCCGTTCCATGTGTCTCTGGAATAGTCGTAACAAACAATAGCATTGGTTACAAAAAATTTGACCAGTGCGGCTTCCCGCACACACAACTTTTAGCTCTTCAGCTAAAGTTGATACAAACAATTTTATAAACGTGCCTTTAGTTAGCCAAGACCGTATCACCGTACTTCCACCACTTTATATTAAGCTCGGCATCTTGAAACAGTTTGTGAAGGCGCTTGACAAAAGTGACTAATGTTATTTTCTTTCACGCAATTTTTCAGGATTAAGCACAGAAAACTTAAAAGCTGGTAATTTTTGATGGAACTCAAATTAGGCAACTGGTGATGTCCAGTCCTAAGCTTAAAATGATTTTTTTTGGTTATAAGTAATTTCCTAAGCAAAAAGAGATTGTTGAGAGCATGCTATCCAACTTGCAAGAGCTAGGGTGCAACATGGGCATAAAAATACACTTCATGTACTCGCATTAACATCGATTTCCACAAAATGTGGGTGATTTTAGTGAGGAGCAGGATAAAAGTTTTCATTGGAATTTTCTGACAATGGAAGAAGGTTATCAGGGGCGTGGTGCTCATATATGAATGGCAGACCATTGCTGCAGTTTGCAACGAGATCTACTCAAACATACCTATTCAAGGAAATCATATAAAATATCATTTGCTAGTGTTCAATTGAAAT